GACCTTGAAGTTCTGAAGAATACACAGTACCTAGATGGTATCACCAGCTGCTGCTGGAGAACAGTGACTGTCCCCTTCCACATGCAATCATATCCTAATTCTATCTTTTCATGGATTCTAATAACACACTGCTCTGAGAGCCAGTTGGCTGAGAAATGTGATATAAATCTCTGCACACTTATACATAGATACACTAAGAGCCCATCTTCCCCAAAGAGCTTGAAACATGGATGGCAAACCGTACGCTGGAGGGCCAAATTCAGCTTGCTCAGGCTCCCAGTACAGCAGCCGGGGTTTTCCCAGATGACCATGTCCCTTTCCCCATGTCCCACCCCCTTCCACATTACTTCTGATCATTTGACGTCCCGGCTTTGGTGCAGTTCTCACCCCATGCTGAAAGACTGAAATGCCTATGTCAGTAAGAGCTTCACACATATTGATGTTTTTGGCCTCATCCCCTTTGCCTTTAGCCCTTACCATTGGATTGCAGTCCTAGAGAACTTCTCTGAATTTCAGTCCAGCCATTTCCTGAGGCCTCCTATCCTTGGTATAAAAGAATGGGCCCTTTGCAGAGTAAAACAGAATAATTGGAAGGGGTCTATAAGGCCGTTCAGACCACTCCCCTGTGCTGCTTCCACATGCAGTCACCTATCCAGCTCCAGTCCCATGCCTTTCCAGTTCAGCAAAGGTGACTTGACATGTTAACTCAATGTATAGCTATGTGGACAGAAGACAACTAAGTTCTCACAGGCAAAACTTTTTTCCTGATTTGTTTTTTTCTATATAGTAGTGTTTTGCTCTACAACAGCCAGAATTGTCTTCAAGTTCCTGAAGCTCACATGTTGTTATATACCTACAACTCATATGCATTGACTATAGGTTAGGATCAAAGGCTTTATTTCATGTGGCTAGTAAGAAGCAACACTGCAACTTGGCCTCTAAATTTGATAGGATTTTCTCCTATAACCATCTTCAAGAATCTCCACAGCCATTACATTTAGCAGTTTGCTTCAGCCAGTGGCTAGTTTACTGCTGCTAATAACTATTATAATTATACTTATCTAAAGCTTTTCATCTGTGATGTTTCACAGTATTCTTGCCAGATGTCTATATGTAAATGTTCATTAGTCATAGACAATGTGGTTTCACTCTTTTTGACTCATACTGCATGTACAAGCTCATTCCAATGCATTCCACATTAATCTGCTCTTAGTTTTGCACACAAGATAATGATTGTACATTTGAGGCTTTATTTTACACAGAAAAATAGGAAGGAACCTGTGTTTGAGTCTTGAACTAGGCTGAGTGTGAACACAACAAGAACCTTACTTAGGTGTTATTTGTGTACAGTGTTCAGATGACAGTCGGTCTAGCCCAGTATTGTCAACACTAGCTGGCAGCATCTCTCCAGGGTTCCAGACAGGACTTCTTCCAGCTCTGCCAGAAGATAAAACTTGGAACCTTCTGTATGCAAATGATTTGCTTTTCTACTGAGCCACTTCCCTTCCCTGTAATGTCTTGAAGCAGGAGTCGGCTTTGCTCCACATGATCCATCCCCAGGCCCACTCTGCCCCAGTATCCACAGGTTGTGTATGGACATCTTGGACTGCCACTCATATGGCTGCCTGAGAAAGAACCCCTCTGGAAAGCAGCTGCTAATGCACAGGGATTCCTTTTCAGACGTCTACCTGTGGTACTAGCCCTGGGCATGGCTTTGAGGATGTTGTTTCTTTTCTATGCTGCCCAAGACCTGAACCTCTGGGTTTGGCAGTGCTCCTGCTTGTGTGTGAACCCTCTACATTGAAGTAGCACATGAACACTTGGGAAAAGCCCTGGAGGATGACAATTTCATGTAAAGCACCTATAAATGAGGGAAGATAACTACATACTGGGGCAGGGGGTGGATAACATTTTAGAATTGTAAACCACCTGGCTATATTGTCTATGATAGATGATGTAAAATATGTTTTATTAGAAAGAGCTGGAGCATCCAGAGCACAGGGGAAAGATTCAGCATCAACCTGCCCCCTTTTCCTCTGTTGCCTAGGCTGAAATCCTAAAATCTGAGAGCCAGTGTGGTGTTGTGCTGAGACTGTTGGACTGGGGACCTGGGAGATCTGGCTTCTAATCTTCACTTGGCCATGGAGCCCACTGGGTGGCTTTGGGCCAGTCACTCACTCTCAGTCTGACATACCTTACAGGGTTGTTGTGAGGATAAAATGGAACTATATAAGCCTTGGGTTTCTCAGAAGAGAGGAAAGACAGGATATAAATTTAATGCAATATTAATTTTAAATTCTGCACCAGAAAGAGAGAATGTAGTATGGGAGAGATCAATGGGTGCAGGTTTTGAGGAATCTGGCTGCTCTTTCCTGCATTTGACACTTTGTTTGTTAATGCCTTAAACATGTCCCCCAACCTGCCACTGCTGAGTCTTTCTTGCCTTTCTATATATCTATGCTGTGAGTTAGTGGAATTACATGAATACACAAGGGTTTCATGCCACTGTTCACAAATAATGTCAGATTTGCTTTGGATCTAGAAGTTTCAGAAATGCTTGCACTGCAAACTGGCCAGGGCGGCTTATTTTATATTGTATAGTTGTATTTTATTTTAATGTATATATTTTAATTTTTACTTATGATGACCTAACTTATTGTTGTAAGCCGCCCCGAGGCTTTGGCGAATGGGGTGGCATAAAAATGTTTTAATAAATAAATAAATAAATAAACAAACAAACAAACTACTATGAGTGAAAAGGCACAAGTGTATAATAAATAGGTTACGTAGAAAGGCTGTTAATGCATTGGAAAAGCTTGGAGTGTTAGTATTAATGATGAAAATACATGTAGTTTGTGTCTTAATGGTCTAGAAAGTTTATGTTGTCATTCACTCTAAAAGTTATGTTAGTATGACAGAAATGAATGGCTTGTTGCAGTGATGATTCATTGCAGCTGATATACTGATATACTGATACACATTCTTGTTTTTATATTGCTGCTCGTTTTGTGAACTGCTAAGAACATATTGCATGGAAAAGCAACATAGCAATTAAAAGTGATGGCTACGTATCCATCATATATAATAGAAATAACACAGTGATGTAATAGCTGCTAGACAATTTCTAAATGTCCATAGGATTGTTCAGATTCCCAGGTCCAAGTCTGGAGAACATCTCTGACCTCAGAGCTGGGAATCTGTTCTTAAAGCACCGTCTTGTAGCCGTTGTGGAAAACCTCATAAACTGCATCTCCAAGGTTGGAAGAGTGACCTCTGAGAAGGATTTTAGAGAGAGCAGACAGGCACTGCCAAGCTATGTATTGTGGCAGGGCCTCAGCTTCCTTCCCTCCCTCTCCAAAGTGCCGCAGTTAGAAGGTGGAAATTGCCCATTTAGCTGATTTGCAGGGCAGAAGGAGTGCAGAAATGAACATCACCTCTATGCTTTTCCTTCTCTGCAGAGGATGGCAACAATGTTTCATGCCTGGAGGGTTATAGGCAGCAGAACTACATGAGTTCCATGGGTACTCTTAGCGAGACAGACAAGCAGCGTCAGTTCCAGATCTTCCACGTCATAAGTAGTTTTGCCCACAAATATTTTGTGTGTGGTGACCTTCTCCCAAATTAATTTGGTCCTCCTTTTTGCAAGCTTTCCTGTGAGCTTGAGGGAAAAGATTGGGAAAAGAAGCATGTTTCTATCCAAAGGAGGTACATGACAGAGCCTCCCATGAATGGCCTGCAATCCAATGCTCCCCACCCACAGCTTGGCCATACCTGCTAGATGGTTGGTTCTAAGCCAAGCATGGTGCAATCCTCCCTCCGTTTCCCCTTTCCCCATACAGGCTCAGATTCAATTAGGCTGCAGTCCTATATACGTTTTCCAGGGAACAGGTTCCACTGAATTCAGTGGGGCTGACTTCTAAGCAAGTCCAGAGACGCAGAGTTATCGGATGGGCTAAAAATATCCCAAATAAATGAATAAATAAATAAGCAAGCAGGTTTAAGACTGCACCTTTCATCCTTTCCTCTGGCACAAACGATCATGTGCTGATATATCTAAACTGGCAATGTACGATTTGTGCTTCTCCTCCCTGGACTCCATGTGTTGATTTGGGAAGTAATTCTATACATGCGTAGACAGAAAACACCCAACACTAGAAACTCCCATGCTGGCTGGAGGATAATGGGAGTTCTAGTACTTTTGCAATGTGCATAGGATCGAACCCTTAACTGCTTAAGAGCCATTCAATTATCCCAGACTCAGTAAAAGTAACAATATCATCTTTATTGCCATCATTTCATTCACTGATGTCACAATAAGGTGGGGAAGGGGGAGGACGGGTCCCTGTTTACATTTTCCAACCCCAGGACACCTTATATGCAATTGATCCAAGATGGGGAACATTAGTTGTACTTCGGTCTCACTGTGATGAATGGACAAGTATATCACAAGTTAGCTTCTTCCCACTGAAATCAAGATAGTTGCAGCTTGAATTCCATGGCTTTCTGTGGAGCTTAAGCACAAGTAACTTTCTCTGGATTGGGGACAATACATCTGTTTATACAAATAGTTTTACTAACTGTTTTTATAATTACAGCACTGTTTGCCTGCTAAACCACCAGTGAAAGCCAGACAGTTATTTCAGGTGGAAAAAATCTGGAAACCAACTCATCCGGTTTTATTGTTCTCTTTGGCTGAAACAAGCCAAACAAAGATTACAATAAGTCAAGAATATTTCCAATTTTAAAGTCATTTCAGTCATAATCACCCCCACATTGCTGTAAAGAGCATAAATAAGGAAATGTTAGGAACAGTATTGTTTTTTCCCTTTCCAAAAGCATCCGAAGACTGCCCAGAATGAATTATGCTAGTGAACCAGCCATCTCAAATACTGAAGGCACCTTTTTATCCCTTTGCAGGGGGATTAATTTGGTCCTGTAGGGAAAAGAACAAGCAAATTTTGAAATAATGTAACCCCCGCCTTTTTGAAGCTGTCAGTTTCCTAACTGCAGACTTCCTCAAACTCACTGTAAGGGGATGAAGCTAACGAGGTTTTAGATTCTCCATCACTGTTGCATTCCCTTCTTAAGCTAAGACCAGAGGTAGGTTGCTCCTCTGCAGCTGGAGCAGCTGCCTTAGCATTTGTCCCTAATGGATGATAGTCCAGCAAATTCTGAAGGTGTTTGATGTAAGTTATGGCAGCTCTCAAGGTCTCCACTTTGCTGAGGCGCTTGTCAGCCAGCTCCTTGGGAAGATGATCTCGGAGGCGTGCATAGCCCTCATTCACACAACGAACCCGCTGCCTCTCCCGCTCGTTCCTCTTGCGGATGAAGGCAGGCTCAAAAGAGTAGTCATAGACTCCTACGTACCCTGAGAAAGGAAGGTAGGAGAACCTTCCTGAGTATCCATTGCAGGCTTGGTGGTCCCAATATGTTGGTTCAAAGTGGAAAGGAACTCCAAACGGCTCTTGGAGTGGTAAACCATGAGAACTGGCCACACGGCTGCTTCCAAGGGATGCTGGTCCTGAGAAAGAGATCCTGTTCAATAGCCTTTCGTCTTTATTACTTCCCATCACGAAGCAGTACAGCAGCAGCTTCCAGAACAGACTTTATGGAATTAATCCATTGGCATGAAGATGAAGCAGACCGGCTTGACAAGGTAGGAAGGTAGGTATATCTTGGTGATTCTCAGAAAAGCAGCTACATGCCTCAGGTTCGTAGCAGCAAGAATGCTTCTGAAATCCCTCTCAGGTTTGAGTACCAGCTTTGCTCCTGGATCTGTTATTATACTGGCAGGATGTCTCCTAATTTATAAGTAGGCTTCTAGGACCATCACTCCACACTTTAAACCCTGGTTTTCCTCTGATCTTCATATTTCAAAAGATAATGAGAGGGTTCCTGTGTTCCTTTTCTCCTAGCTTGGATGTGTGACTACAGAGGTAAAACCAAACATAAATAATCTCCCAGGCTGTAAACACTCCTTATGTATTGTAATCCATAGTGCCCTTTGATATTACCTGCCTCCAAAAGGATGAGCAACTTGAAAAGTTTACAGGCATCTGCCAAGTGTTGCCAGATTTCCTCCTCCTCCTCCACCACCACCTCAAGAACCAAGGATCTCTTGTCTGCCGAGAAGCTAGCCAAGGGCTTTTTTGTACCGAAATCCAAAGGGCAAGAGCAGCCCTGGTTGCTTCCGTTGCTCTAAAGTAACTGAATCAGTTAGTTCGCAAAGTTTGCAAACGTGTGCCATAACTGAGCAGTTTGTGTCTGGTGGGGAGAGGGGCACTGAAATGTGATGTAGCATATTTATAATTTCAAGAGTGACAGCGCTCCCTGGTGTTGTAGAGTGTGTCCATCAAAGCATGCACACTCCAACCACTACTGAAAGGGTGTTGGTATTATGCAATATTTTTGCAGCAGCTGTGAATACTTCCTCAGGGGAATTTTGCCTGTATATGTGTATTTATTTATTAAAGAAGAGATTTTTAAAACAGCTTTTAGGGCAGATTGTTCTTACAACCCTCTGCATGGTACTCACAGGTATGTCCTGCTGAGATCAATGGGACTTACTCCCAAATAAGTGTTTGTAGGATTGCAGCTGCTCAGAATTAGACAGCAAACATAACAATATAAATTCATCCAGTTAAAATCCATGTGACACCCTTGAAATGAGCAGTGAAGCTTACTCAAGCCTGTTTCCAGACAGTTGGTTCCTCATGCTCAAAATGGAGTGCACAACAATTCCATCTTGTCTTCTTGCACAGATTTTTTTCTGGGAAGAAGAAAAGTGGGAAACACATGGGAGAGCTGCAAATGAAAGACATTGCCATCTTGATTCCCCACCCCATTCTGCTGATGGGGCACAATAAAAGCCTGGCATGGTAGTATCCCTAGATATAACATGAGATACCTTGCACATACCTTGCATGCCCAGAACTGCCCTCTAGGACCACTCCAAAATCCACCTTTCCTCGAAGCCCTGGACACAACTTCTCAATCCTCTTAACTTAATACTGCCTTCCCCAACCTGATGCCCTCCAGATGTGTCAGCCGTCCAGGATTTCAGGAAGGATTACATTTCCTGTAATCCTTCCTTCAGCCATGCTGCTGGGACTCTGCCCCTTAAAACTAAACTTAGATATATGCAAAGGAAACAAATCCATCTCATCTCCATTTCCTTCCCATTCTTCTGTGGTCTTCTCTCTGCCAAAATCCAAGGGTAAACCCCTGGGGGTAAGAACCAACTGTCCTATTGCACTGGGTAAAATGCCACACACTTCTGGATGGTGCTCAAGAAATAAAGTATGCCATTATCACTGCCACACTGTTTCTTTTTCATTAAACATTCTTTGTTCAACAGGAATAACAATGTTCCTTTGTCATAGCAGGAACTGTTCACTCCAGTTTTCTGCCTATGGAAGGTATTCACTTGGATATATGTTACTGTTGTGGTTTCCGCCGCCATCATCATCATCATCATCATCATCATCATCATCATCATCATATTTCTGTACTGTCAATAGCCAAAGCTCTCTGGGAAGTAAGTATGCTTGCTATGAAGGATCCCATCTCAGTCCAATAGTTGATTTCAGACGCAATCCTGTGAGTTGTGCTCTTGTTGCTCATAAGCCCCTGAACTCAGAGGGCTACAGAACAGAGCACAAGGGCAATCTCAGCTTTTCAGGAGCTCTGGTTCTGCAGTTTTGCTAGATTTTTTCAGCCATCTACCTGGGATTCCACAGAAGGGGGAGAGAAGCAGACTGAACAGGAGACAGGATAGCTTGTATCCTCTGCCTTCTGCCATCTCTTCTCTTTCCCATTCACTCAAATGACCCCCTTACCCTTCTCCCAAGTTGAATTTCCAAGTTCTTTCCACACTGGCTGTGCGGGGGCGAGAAGAAGGATCACAGCACAGCTGCTTACCCCCAAGGTCAGAGCCTTGTTTTTGTCTTCCAGATCTGGGAATCCAAATTGTTCTATGGCCCGCAGAGAATACCCAGATGCTACAGGATTGCTTTCTTAGCCTAGATTGGTCAGTCAGTTCCAAAGTTTTATTACTGCTTCATGGTTTATCATAAAAACCAAGGTCATAACCTTATCTGTACAGGTTATGCTGTAGAGATAAGGGAACTGAAGTCACAAGGTCATGAGAACAGCCCATTTCTTTTTCCTGGCAAAATAACAGCCAAAAAAAGGACACTTATAAATTATGAAATTCCCAGAAACAGCAAGATGATAATAAAAGTCTGGGTCCCAATCCTGCTACTTATTTATACTGAGTTCACTGGAATGACTAGTAATTTGAACTTTATTGTTTAAGTGTCACGGAGTTAAGAAGTTCTGGGGCCTTGTTTGTCAAAGCCATTCCTAGTGCTTGGCCATAGATTAAAAGTCAAATTACATTTCTGTAAACTAACACAAACACTCTTTCTTGCCATTAGATGTTTATTTTGGTGTTTAATGTAAACTGGCTTCACCTCTGATCTGCATTCAAAAGACACTTTCTTGTCATTATTTAAAACATGCTTAATCTTTGCAAGAAAAGAAGGAAAATAATATGGGGAGAAAAGATATTATATGGTTTGGAAAATTAGAAAAGATAGTATGAGATCACTAATGGTGATCACTTTCATTTGCAAAAGGTTAAAAAAAAAAGTATTGACACAGTTTGGAGAGCACTTTCCACCAAGAAACTAATGCAATTCTTATGGAGCATAAAATGCCCTATTAGGCATGTCATATCTTGCTTATGAAGAGGAAAAAGAAATGGCGTCTTCAGGGTGCAATATATACATGTAACCAATTTAATTGTTCAAGACAGTAATCTAAATAAAGTTGGTCTTTTTTTCTTGAAAAAAATTCTAAACATCATGGCTTTTAAAAAAATGGAATTCTAGCTGTATTTAAGCAAAAAATAGTGGGGGCAGGAAAAATGTTCATTCTTTCAGCAGAGACTGGATCCCATCCTTCAGTCTCTCCCCACAGTCTTCTCCAATCCTAATCCGAGAGATAAAATGCGCCACCCTGTCCACAACAGCTGGTTGGAATTAAGCCCAGGTGAAACAAGGGCAGAACGACATGCACTATTAACATGTGCAGTATGGATGCAGTTATTTATTTACTGAAGTGTAAGTGCACAGGGCCCCAGATTGCCAAGTGTTCAAGGAATTCCCATGCAGAAAGGAAGATGGAATAGCTGCCCAATGCCTTTGATAGCTCGAGGTGCTGCCCACTCAGAATTACTTCATGTCACATAATAAAGCCTGAAAATATGCACATTGGGCATAATTTCATCAGGCTACTTTTTTCCAGATTCAATGTAAATTGTGCTCACTAGCTTTTAAAGTCTTAAACAAGGGGCCCTGGTGCTGGCTAGAGTAGCCATGTATCCTCACTTTACTATTTTTACAGAGGACAGTCCTTTGAGGGGCTTTTAGAGGACCATTCTTTATTTAGCGGTGTCCTCTATTTGAAGGATTTTGCTGTCCAATTCAGTTTAAAGATAAAAACCCCTCAGAACTGTTGGCTGTTCACAATTAGTGGCTGGACAGCAGATCTAACAGACAAGCTCACAGGTCATCTGGACAATTTTGCACTTTGTGGCAGCTTGCAAGAACCCAAGTCTGCATTGCTGCATATAAAATAGCAAGTGTAAATCACTTTTATTCCTCCCTTTTAGCAGTTCCTAGGTAGCCACCCTACTGCCGGTTCTTGCACTTTTGTCCTACTCGTAGGACTACTGTAACTGCCCCACTTGCTCAGCCACTGCACAAATGCAAAGCTGATCTAGACAGACTATTGCTGCTCTCTGTCTGATCGATGCATTGCTTTGCTGTGATTATGGTATCATTTTCATTTCATTGTAAACTTTGATTTTAATAGAAATATAGAATATAAACTACATCAATATGAGCTGCATTAAGGCAATTTGTGGATGAAAAAGGTCAGAAATCAGTTGATCAGAGTTTTCTTAAGCCTTTAAGATGTCACATACCTGTTTTATTTACTCAGAGTGCAATCCTGTATTTGTCTACTTAAAATCAAGGTTGATTTACGTTCAATAGGCCTTAGTGACAGGTGACTAGAAACTACAGGTTGCATTATTATTTTGACGTAAATCCCTTTCATTTCAATGGGTCTACTTTAAGGAGGTCTAACACTGGAAGCAGCCTTATACATAGCTTTTCTCAATTTCGTGCCTTCCAAATGGCACCATTTGGTGCCATTACAAGTTCCCGAATTCCTGGCCCAGTAGCCGTACTGGCTGGGGCTGAAAGGATTTGAAGTCCCAGACATCCAGAAGGAAGCGGGCGAGGGAAAGGTCGCTTAGATAACACCAGGGCTTCGCCAGCATTCACCCTCTCCGGTCGCGCACGAAGGGGCGGGGAGAGGCCGACGCGCGAGGCTCGCAGGGCATGCGCCGCGACGGCCTTTCTTAACGCGCGCGGAGGGAGGAAAACGGAAGAGCCGGCTCTGGTTGCAGCCGGGGAGGAGAAAGGAGTGGAGAGAAAAGCCGCCGCTGCGCGCGAACATGGAGAGAGAGTGCGGGAGCGGGGGTCGCACTTCCTGGATGTAGAACAAAGCGGAAGCCATCGCCGTTCTGAGCGTGACCCCCTCCCTCCTCCCTGTCTCTGCCCGCGCTGTCGCTCTTCTTTCCACTCCGAGGAGGGGCTGTTCTGGAGTGCACCACTACCCCTTCCCGAGGGGGGCGCTGTGTTCGGTTGGGGCGGCGAATTGTCCCCCCGGCCCCCTCCTCGGCTCCCGCGCTCCGTTCGCTGGTCGGCCCATGAGGTTGCGGTGGCGGCCGGCGGCGCTTCCCGGGCCTGAACTCCGTTGCTGCCGGAGTCGCTTGTGACTGCCTTAGACCGATGCTCGCTCGGCTGGGGCGGAGAGGAGCGGCTCCTGGCGGGCAAGGGCCGGAGCGGGGAGACCAGATGAGGAGGAGGAGACGGAGGGTGTTGCCGCCGCCGCCGCCGGGCCCCTCATAATCCCGGCCTTGCCAGGCAGATGCATCCCAGGTGAGCACGCTCTGTGTACGTATGTGTAAGAAGAACGTGTATGCATGCATATCGGGGCTGAATTTGCGGCACGGCTCAGCCCGGAGAGCCTGAGTGGAGCCTTGGGATAGTTGGAGTAGGGGCACACAAGAGTGCCTCTGAGCATGCCCGGTTGAATAACTGAATAGCTAGAGTGTGTGGAGTAAATAGTAATGTGAGGAATAAGCGAAGCACCGCTGTGTCTAAAGTTAAAAAGACTTTAGTTATTTGGGATGATCGTCAAAATCAGTATTTTGTAGGCTAAGGTTTGGGGAGGTGAAATGGATGTCCAGCTGCAGGAAATGTACCGTTAGACCTGTGTGATTTGGCTGTATTTATATAGACCAGCATGGTGTATTTGTTTATAAACCAAGATATGTGTAATATTTACAAACGTGGAGTGGTAATGGGCTTGAACTTCCTTGTAACGCCATGGAAAATGTGATAACTATCCTTTTCCATTGTTGACAGTGGGGTGCAAGTATCACTGATGATGAGTAAGATAAAGAACATGATTTAAATTAATACGCTGGCAGTGTAGCTGTTCTGTTCTGGTGCTTGTTCCCTGTTCTTTACTATGATGTAAACATTCAGTGGTCTGTGGAGTGCAGTGCATAGCTTATTATCAGTGCCAGCAATGCTAAAGATGCTGTAGAAAGGCTGTGCTGGGAGGCACAAAGTGTTGAAGCCCCACCCTTCTCTTCGTGTCCTATTTGTAAGCAAAGACTGTTCCACACATTTGCTTTTAGAGCTGTAGCCAACTGATTGGTAAAGTAGCTCATTCAGTTGTAACACAGTAAGTTACAATCTCGACTTCAGTGAAAATTCTCTTAGCTATTTTGGACAAAGGAAAACATTCCATATATGTTGCAAGGTGGGGGGAATTAGTCCTGTACTTGCCATGTCCCTCTGCTGCCCATGTAGGTGTGTGCCCCTTCTCTAGCTGTACATTTAATGTGCATGAGAAAATGCAATGTTACATGTGGATTGACGGACACATAGAGTGGCTTGCATGGAAGAAATCTTGGGTTGGTAACCCCCCATTAGGTTGATACACTTTTTGGGTACCTAGTCATACCTGTTGAACCCATAGATTGTGGAGACAGTAGGACCACTGACCACTAGGGCTGCAGAGGTGGGATTAGTCCACATAATCCCAGAAATCACCCTTATAGATACACATTCCTATAGCATCTTCTTTACAATTGTTGCCTGTTCCAGTAAATCCCAAAGAGGGTGCTATGCAAGACCTGCTAGTATGCCATGCTAAATACACTGATTAAATGTGCTTGTGAACAATCTCACAAGAGAATGCTTTTGTTGGGAGTCCATAGGGCACAATCCTATGGATTCCTAGCATCATCTGGGGTGCCACAGGATTTACAGCTCAGCCACCTTCGTTTCCCATCACTTTATCAAGATGACTGAAAACATACATCTAGATGAAATGTGTAGCACACAGCAGTGGTGGAACCCCCCCCCCCCCTTGTTCCACACACATACATGATGCAGGTAGACCTCTAAGTTCGAAGGTTTACCTTCAGTGGCTGAGGGTGGGAACAGTGTGCCCTAAAGCACCAGTCTAGGAAGGAGGCTTCCTGCTGCATAATTTTCTGTTATAGCTTTATTTTTTTGGTTTTGCTTCTTCCAGCATGCTTCTGGATGGGCTGGGAAAGTCTACATTTTGAATTGGGATATGATATTTTGACTTTATTTCTAGTGCAGCTGAATTAATCTGCCCTTGGAGGTTTGCCTCTGTCAGAAACACTGCACTTGATCTGCTTCCTTGGAGTCAGGGGTTATGCTCTGAATAGTGGCTTTTATAGAGTGCAGCCCCCTGAAGCCTGGCACTTTATACTTTTGCTCTGAAAATGAAGCCTTTTAGATGTATAAGTGAAGCCAGAAAAGGGGCCATAGCTATCTGGAGTTCAGGATTGGTCAGTTCTCATGTTGTAAGGATATTCAGCAAAGGACCAGGAACTGAAAATACATCTCTTTGTGACATTAGTTCTAAATGGTCAGATACAGGTAGCATGGCCACTTTGTAGTATACATAGCAGACCCATGTGTCTTAATCTCAAAGTATTTCTAGTATCTGTCAAATTCTGAAAATGTTAACACTTTGTCTGTGAGGTACCATGCGATGCTTGGGTGCATAGTTATTTCCACAGGCCATATGTCAAAGTTTTCTCTAAGAATATGTATTTTTAAGCCACGCAGTGCACCTCTCTGAATTATTTGATGTCTTGTTCCATCTCCTTCATTTGGGAGAATCTAGGTGTGTTCATGTGGGTTAAATAAAGTCTTTTTACAGTAAAGAGTTCAGGGAGGATTGAAATCTCCCTCCTTCTCCAAACTCCATTGCTTTCACCAGTTTTCCCTTGCCTGGTTCACTTCTGGTATTGGATTAAAGGAAGGGAACTTAAAGTTGCATAGCGTGGTAGTGTAAGGCAGAGGAGGGGATGATTTCTGTTCCAGTTCTCCCCCTGCCGTGCCCATGCATATTTATTAAATATACTCACATCTAGCTTGGTCCCTGGATGGCTCCCTTCATTGGTAAGATTTAGAAGAGTAAGTTCCATTTCACAGGAACCTTTTCCTAACAATTATGGCCTTTTTGGATTAGTGCTGTGGATGCTGGCATATACTTTTGGAAATCTATATTTGAAGTCATCATTTGGCAGAGTATGCCACCAGAGCCAGTTAAACTAGCTTACTTACTACCAGACTGCAGAATCCTTTGTTATTTAATATTAAAAATTGTGCTTCCTATCTAATGCCAGATATGACTGTATACCTAGAAGCATCAATCTTACTGTTTATTATTTTTGCATAAAATTTGCATCTGAGCATTCAATATCTGAGTAAAACTAATGTAGGTTAGACACAGGGGCTGTGGGAGTCTGCTGGCTGTGGAATGCTAAGAGCTAAGTTTCTCTCTGTCTAAACATGCATCCTTAAATACTTGCTTGACCTTGTTAGTAGATGATTTATGTCCATATCAGTAGTTGTGGAAAGCTGTGGCTGGTAGCTGTAATTGGTGTCTGAGCTTTTGTAGATTGGTACCTACCATTAAGTGTATGTAGGGCTAAGGGAAGAGTTGTATCTGGTCAACAGCAAGAAATATTTGAATATTGCCAGAGTTGCCTGACAGCTTTCTAAAGGAAGGTAAATGATAATTGGTTCTGCAAGTCAATAACTTCTTTGTCTTTTTTAAGACTGTTGGTTCTGATGTGCTATAGTAATCAAATTAACGAGGAGAGAGAGAAAATAAAGACATCCTTTCCGGCTATTAGAGGATCGCCCTATTTAGTTTTGCAAAAAGGTATGTTTGCAGAATTGTTACGTACATGTGCATTGAACCAATTGGTTTAATGATCCATGTGGAAATTCTACGCAAGGATCCCAGTTCATAATCAGTTTGATTTAAGGAAAAATTTGATAAAATGGCTATGCACTGTATCACGTACCTTTAAAAAAGAACAAGGTGCAGGAAGGTCCTGTTTATATGATAAGGATAAGACAACTTTTTCACATGTAGTCTGTGGCTCTTCAAAAAAGCATTTGAAAAATGGTAACTGAAATTCTGAAATGATAGGCATAGTTGCCTTTGTATTTATTGGTTTTTCCTTAATTTTGGACAGGTAGTTGCTGAAGTATGACATTATTTAATAATAAATTTGTTATTTGTTGTATGGATAGCTTTTCCTAGATTTTAAAAAGTGAAGACCCTTCTATCAAAACTGGAATGGTTACAAAATTATTGGGTGTTAACATGTTGAGACAATAGGTTATCAGAGATCATGAGTTTATAAGATTATGATACTTTACTAAAAGTATTTTTGTTTTCAGTGGGGCTTAAGTTTGTTTGTTTGAGTAAGTTTGTTTAGGTTTTATTCATTAAAGAAGTTTGAAGCAAACATGGAACATGTATAACTGTAGTCCTAACCAGTACTTTGTAAATGATAAAAAATTTAAGTGCTTGAGTATACTTCAAATAATTTGGAATAATTGAGTTCCAATTTGTATGTTATACTTGCAATCATTTAATATAAGTAAATGATGTAACTAGTCATTTTAAAATGTCATGTAATAATTGTGTCCCCCTACCTCCCAAATTCTAAAACACCAAATAAGAAGAAGAATAATTAAATCAGGAATCAGTTTTCACTGAAGGATGTGAGGCTTGATCTAATCCGTGTGGGGTATGGTTTATGAGCCCCTTCCAAATGTGACACACAGATGCAGAAGTACCTCATACTGCCTCTACTAGCGGTATGAGCCAGGTGTCTTTTATGCATGTCTTATTTTTCTGTGCAAGGTCTTTGTGAGTATTGAATGCAAATATCTTGACCAGATGATGAGCAGATAATTTGCATGCTCTAAACCATTTTCTTTCTTTAGGATGAATGAAATGAACCTGAGCCCTGTAGGGATGGAGCAGCTGACATCTTCCTCTGTGAGCAACGCTCTGACTGTTGCAGGAAGCCACTTAGGACTGGCTTCCTCACCAACACACAATGCCATACCAGCACCAGGTACTGTAGCAAGCTTGGAAGAACTGAACATTTTTGCATTTCTAAATTCCTGTATTTCTCAGTTGGAGAGAGGGTGTATCTGTGACCAACTCTGTGTTAGGAAAAAGTGGAGAGCTTATATTCCTTTGTGCAAGGGAATCCCATTCTCCTGTGTTGGGCTGTTACTGTCAAGCATGGCACCTGAATTTCCTGGCTCTTATTTTCAAGGACATGGACAACCTTTTTGATGTTATCAAAAGACAATGGCAACCTGCAACAGAAATGTGTAATTTCTAGTGTGGTATAGTGGTACGAGTTAGGTCATTTTGTTATTGGTTTGACTGGGACTCTGGAGATTCAGGTTCCAATCCACACTTACCAGGAAACTCTCTGGGTCCAGTTATAGACTCTTCCTTGCAAAGTTGTTTTCAAGATAAGGAGGAGGGGGGCAGTATAAACCACCTTGGGTTTCTTGCAAAATAACAGAAAGGCAGAATATAAATATCTATTATTCTTTAGAAAATGCTTGGTTTTGCTGTGACTCGTGAGGCAACTAAAACTTTATAAAGGAGAGGAAATGAGTATTGCAAGTAGCATTTGTTGCATTTTGATTTGAAACTTGACATTTACTGGGTTTAATTTTTTAGCTGTCTTTCTAATTTTATGTAACTGCTGTTTGACCTATTTTATTACATTTTATTCTTCTAGCTTTTCAAGTCCACCAAGAATGCATCTCTTATAGGGTGGGTTAAAAATACAGGGGTGAATCCAGATCTAGGCACATTCAGATGGAAATGGGCTTTCCCACTCCCCATCTCTCACAACAGCCTCTCCACCCTGAAAAGTTTAGAGAAGGTTGGGGAACCCTGCTGAATGGACTGAATTGTAGGGAGGAGATTAGATGGAGACACCAATAGTAAGTGGAGCCCTTCTGTCTACAAAAGGCAGGTCTTGGGTCAAACCCATAATAATTAAAATAAACTCTGCTATCATTTCAGTGTGCTGTTTTGCTTGCTTGTTTGTTTCTGGTAGGATTGCCAGTTGCAATTCCAAATTTGGGGCCCTCCTTGCCATCTGCTCTGTCTCTGATGCTTCCGATGGGGATTGGGGATAGAGGAGTGATGTGTGGTATACCAGAGAGAAATTACACCCTACCTCCACCACCTTACCCTCATCTGGAGAGCAGCTACTTCAGGCACATTCTCCCTGGTGAGTGCTGCCGCATTACAATATGCATTTTGGTGAGATTTAAGTCTTTATTCATCAACAAATTTTCATGAAGGATCACTTTGAAAAAGGGGATAGGTGAAGGCGCTCTTAAAAATGTTACGGGAATCATTTAATAATGTTGTCATTTTATTGCAAGTGTCCATGTAAGCCCCTAGTCAGGAAGATTGCCATTTTATGGGAAAACTAAAATTGGGTAATGTAGGCCTGTCCCAATATCTAAGTTCTGATTGTATTATTTATCCAGTAGTCTTGAAATGGCATGGATACATTACTGCTTCTATTCAGATAGTGAAAGAGGGATTAACAGCCTGCTTTTCATTGTCTTAGAAGAATAGTAAAAGGAAAAGTCAAGTCTCATGGTGGCTGCAGAGAGTTGGGGAAGCCTTTGCCAGCTGTCTAACAAGTGCTGCTTGGGCACTTTGGGGTGGCTGGCCATGGTGCTTGACCACTAGCCATTTGGCAAGAGTGGCAAGGAGTTTTTGCAGCTCTTGCCAAGTAGTAGTAGTAAGTAGTAAAAACCTTTATTGGCACACTGCTCTTGCCAAGTGACTTTGCATTCATTTGGCTTCACATTTGGGAAAACACAGCAATCCATGGTAGGGCACGGAAACCCTACAACAAGCTATGGCCAAGACAAACATCACCCTGGCAAAACAATCTTGGGTTCAGACAGCATGCTAAGTCACCATGGCTGCAGAAGTGCAGTGGCTTAGTATGTCATTCAAACCCAGTCGTTATGATTTGGTTTTAAAGAGGGACACTCACTGGGGTTTTAAACCACTTGATTTGTATGTGTGCCGATAGATTGCCATGATGCTTAGCAACTTGAAATTTAACTGGTTATTGCTAACTGATGCTCTTCTCATTTTCTATCCTTTCTTCCCCCCTTCTTTAGGTCTCCTGTCTTATTTAGCTGACAGACCTCCACCTCAGTACATCCATCCCAACAATATAAATGTTGATAGCAATCCAGCTTTATCTGTCTCAAACAACCCTTCAGGCCTAGATCCTTACCAGCCAAATGGTACAGTGGGTCTTGAACCTGGCATTGTCTCCTTGGATTCCCGCTCAGTGAATGCACACAGCGCCCAAAGCTTGCATTCCAGTGATAGCCATGAGGTAGCTTTGGATACAACAATTGCCATGGAAAGTGTCTCGAGGGTTACCAGTCCGATTTCTACTGACCGAATTGCTGAAGAACTTACAATGGGTGATGTAGCAGGAGATCATTCACAAATTGCAAATGGCAACCATAATCATGAGTCTTTAGCTGTGGATGCTGTCAGTAGCAGTTTAGCTACAGATACTGTAGGGCATAATGGCGTCATCCCTATTCACGGCAACAGTTTAGAGCTTCCAGTTGTTATGGAGCCTGACCATATTGCCGGTCGTGTTAGTGGGATATCTGACAGAACACTTGGAGACACGATTCATACAGTAGCCATGAGTAGCAACTCTGTGAGTGTTGCACTTTCTACCTCACACAACCTGACATCCCTGGAGTCTGTCTCTTTACATGAAGTGGGTCTCAGTTTGGAGCCTGTGACCGTGTCCGCCATAAGCCAGGAAGTAGCCATGGGACAAAACCATGTGGATGTCTCCTCGGACAATCTTGCCTTTGTGCCATCGTCACTGCAGATGGAAGACTCCAATTCAAACAAGGAGAATATGGCTACTCTGTTTACCATATGTGAGTGTGGGCTAGTATACATTTGCCTCAGCCTCTGGGTAGTCTTTATGTTGCAGCTGCTTTTAAAAGAACATAGAAATCTTGCATTTAAATTACGTTTGGTGCTAGAGGGTAGTTGATGCATGAAAGAAAATCTTACAGAAATTGAGGAGCAGTGGGGCTAAATTTCCCATTGTATGTAAAGAGAATTTAAAGATGTTTCTTCATGTGAACATCTTTTTGTCAGCCCATTTACACTTTCTCCTGCAGTGCTACAGAACGTTGAATTTTTTCAGCGCAGGGCAGATGCAGACATACTTAGGAACAAAAATGGATGTGGGATGTTCAATTATGGTTGATCCCTACATCTGTATGTCCAGGCTCAGAAGTGAAAGCAGGCCAGCTCTTTCCCTCCCATTGCCCCTGCCACACAATTTAGGTGAACTGTCTGTATATTCCTGTTTTTCGTACACCTTGCATGTATTTGCATTTAGTGCGTATTGTTAACCATTGTAAAACACACAAACACAACAGTCTTTCGTCCTTGAAAATCTGCCTTGAGAAGGGAGTTGCGGAGAGGAGGCTGACTGTTTGCCTTGACCTCCCATCACGTAGTGCTCTGTACAGTGTATGCAGCTCAGAAGTGAAAGAAATGGTTTCCACCAACCACGATCAAATTTGCATATCCAGGAAGCACGCTTCCAAGCAGACTGTTCAGTAAAACTATGTACAGCTTTATGTAGTCCTGAAGTTGCTGCTCCACCCTACCTGGTAAGAACATGCAGTAGGAGAATCTTAGTTGTTTTTCTAATACCCAAAATGAAGTGCCTTGTATCATCACATTTTATCTCTTGTGTTGCAGATGAGTCCCCAACATTGCAAACTCATAATAATACTATATTAGACTACTTGTTCACGCATATCAGTATTGGTCATGTGCTTCCTTAAAAAGAAATCCCAAAGGCCCAAACCTAATTTCTATAAAGCTTCCTCATGTGACACTTCAAGGCAGTTGAAAGCCACAGACCGCTAGGCAAGTAACTATTTGCAGACAAACCATATTTGAAATAGAAACTGGAAGCTCTTTGCATTAACTTGTTCTTTCCTTTGCTGACATGCTACAGTAACACAAAGGAACATGTCTGTGATGCTCTGTCCCTTATCCTCATCCGCAGGGTGCACACTGTGTGACAAGGCCTACCCATCTGATTGTCCAGATCATGGGCCTGTGACCTTTGTTTCAGACACCCCAATAGAGAGTCGAGCTAGGCTTTCTCTCCCAAAACAGCTTGTTGTCCGCCAATCTATCATGGGCGCTGAAGTTGGTAAGGATCTTGTTAACTGTACATTTCATCATGACATGGGTTGGGGGAAGGCAATCCCAAGCAAACACAATCTGATACAGAAAGGGTAGGAAATAAAATTAGGAAGGAAAATAGGTCTGGGCAGCTCATTATGCAGGGGAATACAATGCAGGAGTGTTTATGGTCAGAGAATTGTGGGAGGTACTTTCATCTTCTGTTAGCACTAATTATTAAGTGATTAATGGGAAGAGCAATAGTGTTGCCTAACCCATTTTTGTATGGTCTTATGTAGAAGAGTTACGATACCCTCAGCAACTAAATATCCCCATAAGAGTCTCACAGTAAGAGTCTCACAGCTCTATCAGGAGGATAACTTATCTGTTTTGGAGCAAGGTGATAATGGAAGGGTAAGAATCTTAACAGTGACTTTATTTGGCTCCCACACAAACTAAGCAAAATTCCTTAGAAGGTGTTGTTTTCTGTAGCATAATTGATGTTCATAAAGCCTTATTTACACTACACTATAGTCAGTTGTCAGCCCGTCTTGGATATTCTTTCTTCAGTATACTGACTAGCTAAATCTTGGCAGTAAATTCAAAGTTCAGCAGTTTAGTGGAGTAAGACTTAGGCATTCATAGAAAAGTTTTAATCACATTCAGTTTTTAGGAAATGTTTTTAAATAGTTGATCTGATCTAACCTCCATGATTGATTGATTGATTGATTGATTTGGAGTGTTTGTATGCCACCCCATTCGCATACGCCTCGGGGCGGCTTCCAACAAATAAATAACAATATACAAAAATATACAGAATTGGAAACATCCCGGAGTTAGATAAAAGCAATAAATAACTTAACAATCAATTAAAATATTTAAATAAAAAGGTCTTGGCCTGGCGCCGAAAAGCAAATAATGACGGTGCCAGGCGGACCTCTCTGGGGAGCGCATTCCACAGATGGGACGCCACCGCAGAGAAGGCCCACCTAATTTCCTTCACGGAGGGTTCCCAGAGAAGGGCCTCTGCCGCCAATCATAGAGGGCGGGAGGGCAAGTATGGGCGGAGGCACTCCTTCAGGTACCCAGGTCCCAAGCCGTTTAGGGCTTTATAGGTAAGCACCAGCATCTTGAATTGGGCCCAGACTTCAATGGGGAGTCAGTGAAGCTGACGAAGGACTGGGGTTATATGAGAACAACGCCCAGTCCCCGTCAGCAACCTGGCAGCTCTATTTTGCACCAATTGTATCCGGACCATCTTCAGGGGCAGCCCCACATAGAGCGCATTGCATAAGTCTAATTGGGAAGTGACCAATGCATGCATCACTGTCGCCAGGCAATCGTCCTCCAGATAGAGATGCAGCTGATGGATCAGCCAAAGCTGATGGAAAGCGCTCCTCGCCACGGCCGACACTTGAGCTTCCAAGGTCAGCTTCAGGTCGAGGAGCACCCCCCCAAGCTGCGGACCCTGTCCTTCAGAGGGAGTGCTACCCCATTCAGGACAAGGTCCAGGTCCCACACCCCAGAGTCCGAACCACCCACCAACAGGACCTCCGTCTTGTCTGGATTGAGCTTCAGTTTGTTGGCCCTCATCCAGCCCATTACCTCGGCCAGGCACCGGTTCAGTACAGCCACTGCCTCACCTGGATGGGTTGAGAAAGAGAGGTAGAGCTGGGTATCATCAGCCTAAATTTAGATATCCTGCCTAAATTGCTTGTGTCTTTGAAAGTACATCTTCAGTTTAGCTAAACTAATGGGTTTTATTTGGCCTCATCACCTCTGTTTTGCAAGGGTTCTTTGAAACTGAAATATCACTTTTAATAACAGTAATGTTCCAATGTTATTCATAACAGTACTGCAGCATTGCTCAGAAAGGGCTTGAGTGCATTTTAGGCCAATTGTTTTCAAACTTCTGCTCCAAGAGAACCCTTTTTGCAGTGCTCCATGCTGTCGTACTCTTGGGGACCCCTCTAACTCATAGTCTGTGTGTGGTACTGGCCAGAATGACTGATGTTTACCATTGCCTGCTTGAACTAGGAGTGTCCTAGGAAACACCTGACAGCTCCTACAGCTGCGCATTGGAGGGAAACCTTGGTAGTGGTGGGGAAGCTACTGTTCAGGAAAAGACGTCTGTTGCTACTTATGTTGCTGAGAAACCCTTGAAACACTGTTTTTGAAAATTCTTGCCTTAGGTCATCACTCTTTGAGGCTGGAATGCAACTAACTGCCTGGCCAGATATATTCCATAGAGATCCTGGGGGAGAACCACAAATTTATGGATAGAAACCCTAGTGGTTCTAACTGTGCATTAATTTCAGCTGGAGACTCTTGCTGTGTTCCTAGCTGCTTCTGCAGTTTCTGAAATAAGATTTTTTTTTCTATTTTTGCAGGAAGTGCCATGAAATCTTAATTGAGCACAGGAGGCCAGGACCTCAGTTGTACAGCTCACCTGAAAGTAAATTATTTGCTCTTAGAAAAAACCTAGGTCTATGCAGTGATTACAGTTGAATTTACCCCTAAGAATGTTATGTGATGCTAGTTTCTGTGGTTAGCTCATTTCGTAGCAGCTTTCCCGACCTGATCCTTAGCAGTAGGTCTCAGAGCACTTCAGTACATGCATTACATGTCATTGTTGTTGGAATTTGCTAAGTGTATTCAGTAGAATGTTATTTGTTTAAAAAAAACTGTTGGTAGGTGTGTGGGCTCAAGAGACCATTCCTGTACGCACTTGTTTTGGACCACTCATTGGGCAGCAGAGTCACTCCATGGAAGTAGCTGATTGGACAGACAAAACAGCCAATCACATTTGGAAGGTTAGTTTGTTTTGTCTTCTTTTTTTGCTCTTAATTAATCTTATGCAAAAATGATAGCTTCGGAACATACAAACTGACTTATGCTGATTGTCAGTTGGTGGTGATTCTCCATGAATTCTAGGCAGGAGTTTTTTCAGCCCTATCTGGAGAGGTCGTAGATTGAACTTGGGACCTTCAACGTGCAAAGCATGTGTGTTACCACTGAGCTGATGGTTGATTTTGGCCACACAAACAAGATGGGAACGTCACATAGATGTGGTGGGAAAAGTATTTGGATCTCCTGAATTAAATGGTAGATAGTGCCATATGCTAGTGCTGAGTAGAAAAATATGTTTTTTTTTTTTCCTTATTTACATTTTCTGAATTCTCTCGGAAGGTAGTTTATTCTGGAGACCAAAAATAGTTTTACCAAAGTGGTCTTCACTGCTGCTAACACTTGTTAAGGTGTTTTGGTGGTTACTGCTTTTCCATGGTTCCAGTGGTTCCATTCTGGAAAGTAAAGGAAGTAGAAAGCTTCCTTTAGCAGAAAGTGGGTTCATAATAGAATGTTTCCATGCTTTATTCCAACTGGTTCAGAAACTTAAGAACCTTGCTGTGTGACACTGTGCTCATATAATTTGCCGTGAGGAAGGGATGGCTGTAATTGGGAATGCACTGGTCAGACAAAACAGCATGCATCTTCTGAGGCATTCTCTCTGGAGAGCTTGTCAAACCTTTCTCTTGCCTTTCTCCTCTCAGATGTACCATAATAATGTTTTGGAGTTCTACATCATCACAACTGATGAACATGAATGTAACTGGATGATGTTTGTGCGGAAAGCCAGGTGAGAAAGGATTGTAACAACAAAACAGGGCTAACTATATTAGCAGAACAATATATATTATATTAGATATATCATTCTATATCTTATCACTTTTTCTGTAACCTGAAATGTCGCTGTCCCTTAGGGGCAGATGCCAGAAGCTATTCAGTTCCTTAAAACAGTGAGGTGAATCATGTGCTTTTTCTGATTTTTAGAGTCAGAACCATCTGAATGCAGGATACCTGGGAGGAAAATCCTCCGGTGTGTTCCTTTTATACTTTTCACATCTATGGAAGAGGGGAGGCTTGGTTTAGAGACTTCTGGCCCCTTGTCAACAGCTACTCCCACTCTTTGGATAACCCTCCCTCCCTCCCTCCCTCCCATTTTTGTATGCCACTCCATTCCCATAGGCTCTGGGCAATTTACAAGGAATTTAAAATCAACAATTAAAATTTTCCACTGAAAATCAAGCATATTAAATAAAACTGATAGGGGAACTCATCTGGGAAGTCCTGTCAGAACTGATAGATGAGGTAGCAATCTGGGATATCAGGTGCATGTCTCCTGGCAGGCCATTCCATAGTTTAGGGGCAGCCACTGAGAAAGTCCTCTGAGTAGCTGAAATTAATCTTCCAGAAAATTATGCCCAGAGGACCTTAGCAAGCAAGGTGGAATATATGGGCAAAAACTCTCCTGAAGGTATGAGCCATGAAGGGCTTTAAAGGTAATACCAGCCCCTTGCACAACATCCGGAAATGCATTGGCAGGCAGTGCACAGACTTAACATTGTGATACAGTCTTTGTGACATAAAGTCCATGATTTCCCAGTGACCAACCTGGCTGCCATATTTTGTACTAGTTTCCAAAGTATGCACAAGTGTAGAGTGCATTACAGAAAGCATGCCTGGAAGTTACCAGTGCATGCACTACTTTTTTCAGCTCACTGTCTTCCAAAAAGGGATGCAGTTGTTGAATCAGCCGAAGCTGCTAACAGACACTCTTGACCACAGCTGCTATCTGTGCTGACATCTAAGGGCCAGATCAAGTAGCAGTGCTCAAGTGTGAACACATTCTTTCAGCGGGAGTGCAACCCCATCTAGAACTGGGTGACACAGCTCTAATCCCGAATTTGAATCCTTAACAGCAAACATCTCTGTTTTGTTCGGATTTAACTGCAATTAGTCTTTCCTCATCCAACCCATTATCAGCTTCAGGCAGTCATTGAAAGAAGAGATGCTGTCTCTAGAACAAACAGCAGATTGTGGTAAGGAGAAATATGCCTGGGTGTTATCAGCATAGATCTGATTGTCATCGGTGTTACCCAGTACTTCTCCCTGCAGCTTCATGTTAAACAGCATTGGAGACAAAATGGAGGCCTGCTGGGACTCCACAGGTTAACTTCTTCTTAGAGGAGCAACAGTATCACCATCTGAACTGACTTGAGAAGCTGAAACGGAACCACTGCAGGGCAGTGCCTCCAATTCCCAAGTCCCACAGATGATCCAGAAGGGTACTATTGAAGGTTGCTAAAAGATCCAGCGGAAGCAACAGGGAAATGTTTCCTCTATCAGTTCTGAGTCGTAGATCATCCACTAGAGTGACCAGACTGGTCTGAATCCCATATCCCATTCTGAAACCAGTTTGAAATGGGTCCAGAAAGTTATCATCCAGGACTGCCTTGAGCAGGAAAAAACATTGCCTTTCAAAGGAATGGTGTATTTGAGACTGGTTGAAAATTGTTAAGGTCCGGGGGTTCAAACTTGGTTTCTTAAGGAGAGTCCCTACAATAGCCTCCTGCAGGCAGGCAAGGACCCTACCCTCTCTGAAGGAGGCACTGATGATGAGAAATAATATCTCCTTCAACACTTCCATCCCCTAGACTACCAGCCAAGATGGACACTAAAAGTGCAGCTGGTTTTTTCTTACCAGTCCAAGCAGCCTGTCAATATTATCAGGACTTATAAATTGAAATTGATTCAAGATAACGCCATTCAGAGAGTTACACACTCAGTACCTGGTCAAAGGGACAGTATTCTTACAGGACGCAGCCACACTGCCTTCTCACCCACTTTCCATTACCTGAGCCATAACACAATGGCTAACTGGGAGGGCCTGTACCCATAGAGGACCACTGTCTTCTCCCAGCCTGGTCTCTATGCAACAGGCCAGTTTGACTGCCTCATGCCTAACCAGATCATTGGTGATCACAATTTTATTATGGGCTGGCCTAACATTACAAAGGAGCAGTGAAAGGGATTTTGGGTGGTTCACACTGCTCTCCAAATTATCCTGGTTGGCAGGGCATCCAGAAGGAGAGGCAGTTATAAGGCAACAATCTCTCCTGCAAGAGCACCCGAATGGTTGCCTCCCTTCACATAATTCCCAGACCATAGCTAAAAGACAGGAACATTTATTAAAACAAGTGGTAAAAGCGCATATATTGATCCAAAATGGTACATAGTTAATAAACTTGACAGCATATCTGTGTGTTCAAAAAGTACAAAGGTACTGCACTTCCCAGCATCCATATGAAACTAAAGAACTTGCCAGCTAGAGATTTCACCTCTACTTGGGAGTTTCCTACTGAAGCAACACCCCAATGACAAATTGGTCCCACCAAGGCATGGGCTGTAAGTTAAAGGCCGTCAGCAATCACTGTCTTACATGTACCTTCAAAAGTGTTAAAGCAGGTAGACTTTCCACAAACACCACTAACTAAACACATACCAATGCTATTAGGAAACAGAAGCCTTCATTCAAGAGGAGCCTGTGGCAGCAGGAGCCACACGCTGCCTCTGTCTTCACCCTGCAGAAACAGCAGGCGGGCCATGCCTCTGGAGATGGCTGCAGCTGCTGCTTCCAAGTGCAGACGGCAGCCAACTAGCTTTTGTCTTCTAACTAGCTCAGTCAATTGAGGGGAGCATTTGAAATGTTGTTTAAAACTAGACTAATTTATGGAGCCATACTGTTTATCTTTTTATGGGAGTGATCTAAACACATTGCTATAGTTTGAGAGATGCTACATGTGTTGTTGCATTTAGATTACCCCTACTGCTCACATATTTTTGTCAAGCCACATTAATTCATCTAAACACTAGTGAATTCCCAGCCTCCCTAAAGAATCTACAATCACTTAGATTTGCAGTTCAGGAGCAGGAGGATGAAGTGGTTGATTTACAGTTTTTCTTTCTTTTAAACAATTGTTCTGGTGGAGGAGTTTTTGTCAATCTTTAGTTGAACTTATGAATTCTCTCTTTTAGCAAGGCGGGATCTGGAGTGTGTTAGGCTCCACCACCACCCAGGGCAAGGCAGGGAACGTGACAAGTCCCTTCATCCGACTTCTCCTCTCCAATTTGCCCAGGATAGAGTTTGCAAGCAACATTGCTATCTTTTTTTACTAGCTCTATTAAAATATATTTTTCCTTCAGTCTGCATTATTTACTCCATGTAACTGCCTTGCAAAAATCCTTTTCCCCTCTGCCTTTTCTGAAGTTCTTCTGGGTGACTGCCCCTGCAAGCATAGGGGACTACCAACCAAGAAAGGGTCAGATACCTGAATCATCAGAGCTATGCACCACAGAATTAAGAAGTGGCAAGTCTATACCCCCAGTGAACTAGATAAGAGCTGTAAGCTAAGCTCCCTGAAGCCCTCACAGCCCTATATGTTAGCTTGCTGGAGATGTGATGGGCAGCTGAAAAGTCCCTAAAAAAAGGGGGAGAGAATTTACTGAACCATTAATTAAGCTTGAACAAAGCACCCTTATTTCTTTGCAATTGTGGGCAAGGAAGAATAGCTCAGCTCAGCTATTCTTGCATCCTTTTGTAGCCTGGCCTAAAGTCAGTCAGCTGATCAAACTTCAGTATGGAAGTACACAATGGAGGCAGGAAAAGGACAGGCTTTAAAGAAGAAGTGAGAGTTGCCTCTCCTTTCAGCCTTCATCTTCTAAAGAACATGCTCCTTTGTGAATAAAAAGCTCTCAGCGGTTGGGCCACTAGATGGACACAAGTAGGGAGGAACCAAAGGCACTTAAAGCTGTACATTTCAAAAGGATTAACAGGCCCATCTGTTCATTCACAAAAAACCACAGGTGCTTCTGATAATAGAAAAGTAGCATCTGTTACTGTTGATTTTTAATTGACCAGTGCTAAGAATCTTAATGGTTCCAGGGATATTGCCTGGAGATGTAATGTAATATGATTACATAATATTTAATGGATTCCCCCCCCCCCCCCCGTGTTGAATAGGACCCAGGAAGAACAGAATCTGGTAGCTTATCCTCATGATGGAAAGATTTACTTCTGCACCTCACGAGATATCCCTCCAGACCATGAACTTCTTTTTTACTATAGTCGAGATTATGCCCGACAGATTGGTAAGTGGTTAGACAAACTTACTGTAAATGCTACCTCTTGATCAGGAGTAAACAATCTTTTTTGGGCCTGTGGGAACATTTGACAATTTGCTATGCTGCCCTGGGCACCACCACAGAATGGCTGCCACAGGAAGCAGGACAGGTCAGATAGGACAAGTAACTTGCTCAAAAAATTGAGTGCAAGGCAAAGGTGGGGTCTCAGTGTTAAGCCACAAAACAGTTGCTTTAAACCCACACTTTTCAGCATCAACAAAAACTTATTTCCCAAAGACAGACTTTTCCCTTAAGCCCCTTCTCTGCCTGCATCTATTCTTGTCTCTATCTGAATTACCACCCTTAGATACACATGTACATAACATTCTCATTCTCTCACACACACCCTGCATATTGTGTATCCTTCATGCAAAGATGGGGGTGTTGTGTTGTTTACCCTTGCTCTAGGCTGACTCAGTTTCTGTTTAACTTTTTCACTTACCAAATTTTTGAATTCTTTGTTCACTTTCTTCGTCTTTTGTATTTGGAATGTTAATTCCATTTTTTTTGATGAAAAGTTGCTAGACATTAGTTTGTACACCGGGTAGAGCAGCTGAGTTCACTGAAGCTTATCTAATATCAAGTTGAAGTCAATCAGTAACGTAAACTAGACAATGCTCAATTTGTACATTTTTGTGTGTACAGCAATCTACTTCATGAACATAAATCAACAGTTTTTCCTATGCCTTTTATAAGTCATGATTATTTAGATGTATTTTGTTCCATTTATGATATTCTCAGTTTCTACTTTATGCTGCACCATAAAAATCCTTAATTCACCAACTGGCTTACTTTACAAGGATCTGTATTATTGGATCCATGGGTCTCTTATAAGTTCTCTTGAATTAGAAATATCCTTGTGCATTCCTGCAGACTTAAAAGCCATACACATTGCAATGTACTGGCTAAAATGAAGGACAGTTGGTCAAGTGCAGCCAAATTGCTAGCAGTTTGCCAGTGGTTGAAGGCTATAGTGTTTTGAACTGGAATGTTTGGTTTTGTGTTAAAGGTGTTCCTGAGCATCCTGACATGCACACTTGTCACTGTGGAAAAGAATGTGCTTCTTACACAGAATTCAAGGCGCACCTGAATAGTCACATCCACTTCCCCAGTCAGGGACACAGCACCAGCCATGGACCAGGCCACAGTAAGGAAAGGAAGTGGAAATGCTCCATGTGTCCTCAAGCATTCATCTCGCCTTCCAAGCTCCATGTTCATTTCATGGGGCACATGGGTATGAAGCCACACAAATGTGATTTCTGTAGCAAAGCCTTTAGTGACCCTAGCAATCTCCGTACACACCTCAAAATTCATACAGGTAAGTTTACAAATGAGCAGAGCATGAAATTACATTTCCAGAGGAGCATATGACACCTTGCAAAAGTTTATCACAGTGAAGACTGATCATATTCCTTCATTCTTGAAGAAATTAGCTGTCTTGCCTAAATCATTTATGAACTGCATTCTTTGACACATTAAGGATGTACAGGCCAAATTCATATTGATTTTAATTTGAATGACTGTTTTTTAGTCTTTTATGGTTAAGTGTTATTTACAGTTTAATTCTGGATACCTTGGTTGAGTATTAGCAAGAACTAACAACTAGTATAGGTTTTACCAGCGTAAGAATCTGTTAAGATATTTATGACTGGCTCTGTTACTTCCCTCCAGCTAAGCTCTCAGCACTAGAAGTGAACTTCTGATGCTAGATTCTAAATAGTAGATGCTCTGCATACTTTGTCCCAGAATCTTCTTTAAGTCACCTGTGTGGAATGGAATAGAACATGCAGCTGTAGGTTCTCCTTGTTGCTAAGGCATCCTTTTGTGTAGTGCCTTAGCATGCTGGCAGCATTGTTCCCACTTGTAGCCGACCTCATTTGCTTTCTAAACAAGCTCAGTAAATGCTTTTCCAAAGGGGGACCATGGTAGAATGTCAGATTGTGACATTAATGTCACCTGCTTGTCCTGAGAAGTGGACAGAGCCAGGATGAAGGCAGTGCTGGTAGCCCTTTTCTGTTCCATCAGCTCTGATGCTTCCTCCAGTCCCAAGCTGGCATGGGACTGGAGGGAAAAGGGGTGGTTGCTGCGTTAACTAATTTGCCATGGTGAGGATAGGTCCTGTTGATGCTAGAAGATAAAGGTTGCTCTGTGCCAAAGAAATTACTGGCCCCTCAAAGTTCTATGCATCTCCAGATCCTTTTGCTACATTTTGGGTTGGCATGGGGAGAGATTAGGGGAAGAGTGAAATGAAGTAACAACCTACTAAAGGGTATTGAGTTAGGAGCACCAAAAGTGTTGCGTTCACTTGGCAAAACTAGTCTGGAAGAGCAGGGCAACCCCTTCATCTGGATAAGCAATTAAAATTATCCCTGCCTGTGCACTTTGGAGGAAGGTGCTATCCTGCTGTTAAGGAATGTCCTTGGGGAGCCTTTGAGGAACTACAGAGTTGTGAGCTGTCATCTCGTTCTCAGTGGTAAAATGTGATGAGAGCTCCGGGATCCTTATTAGCTGGCATTAGATACTTGCAGCAGTCAATATACGGGGAGTTTAGGAGTGATTGTACAGGGCAGCTGGCTGTACAGTAATGGCACACACACACACTGCTAAGGTTTTAATCTGCCTTTATAAAAGGAAGAAGGGGAGTACAAAGGTCTTGGGCAACTTGCTTATTTCTGATTCTAGGTCAAAAGAATTATCGCTGTGCTCTCTGTGAGAAGTCATTTACTCAAAAGGCCCACCTGGAGTCACACATGGTTATCCACACAGGGGAGAAAAACCTGAAGTGTGATTACTGTGACAAACTATTCATGCGACGGCAAGACCTGAAGCAGCACATACTTACCCATACACAGTGAGTAATTTTCAGGGAAAGGATCGTTTAGGAGACAGTTCAGATTGTCAAAAGAAAGTCAGTGGCCTGCAGGCATAGGGAGGTGCTTACCTGTCTCATATAAAAGGTCTGTGAAGTTATACAATGCTGGTTTGTTCCAAGCCAAAACCAAATTGTGCAAAGAACCCATAAGCAAAATAAGGGTTGAAGCATAACATATTAGAAGATGGGTGAGTAACTTGCACCTTTCCAGACCTGCTTATTTGAACTATTCCCTCCATTTCTATCAAAAGATGACACTTAAGGCAACCTAACTAAACAATTAGATTAAAACAATAAACCATATTAAAATAAAAATAAGTTACAGGAAAAAAGTATCGAAACCAAGAAGCTCACTTACAGGTCAAAGGCCTTTAATAGAGCAGTCTTTACCTTGTCAGTGGAAAGACAGCGGAAGGAGCAAACCTAACCTCTCCTGAAAGGACATTTTACAGCCTTGGAGCAGACACCAAAAGGGCCATCTCTTGCATCGCCACCACACATTTCTGTGATGGCAAGAAGGGCATCTTTAGATCTGGGCAGGATCATAAGGAGATTTTTCAGATAGCACAAAAGGTCTCTTTATACTGGCTTTTTGCACATTCTCCTATCCCCATTTTAGCTATCCATTTGATTTTTATAACAAGTGGCATTTTATTGCAAGTCCAGAAGATAAGCAGGTAAAAGAATACTTGTCCTCTTAGGCCATTTCTGAAAACAGCCATATCGGCCATTTTCCTGTTGCTTGTGTTGTTGATGGGTGATGTTTCTTGCTTGCTTCTGTAATGCTGTATAAACATATACTTCAATTTTGAGAGGCCAAGTCCTGTGCGTACAAGAAACTGAAGGCTTGTAATGCTGAACAGATGTGTAAAGCTAACATTGGAACATTCAAATCATGTTATGGTAGACAAACTTCTAGGTTTTTTTAAATGGTTAAGAAGTGCAAACTGCCTGTCACCCTAATGACTAAAATGCTGTTCCCTTTGTTTAGAGAATGTCAGATCAAGTGTCCCCAGTGTGAGAAACTGTTCCTGAGAACAAATCACCTAAAGAAACACTTAAACTCTCATGAAGGAAAGCGTGACTATGTATGTGAAAAGTGCTCCAAGGCTTACTTGACAAAATACCACCTCACTCGCCACCTTAAAATCTGTAAAGGACCCACCTTCAGCCTCTCAGCCCAGGAGGAGGAGGAGGAGGAGGAGGAGGAGGATTCTTCAGAGGAGAAAGAATTGATCAATTCTGCAAGAAGTGAAGACTTAATACCAGCGTGTATGTGACAAATGATACTCTCTTGCCACAAATAAGAAATGGCGTTCCTAAATTGTAAATTGACTCAGCTTCCTAAAATCATGTTTATCAAAGTAATATTTGTACAGTGGACCTCTGTTCAGTGACCAGAGTTCATGCCTTTAACAAAAATGGCTTGTGTATTTTTTCAGAAAGGTTCTCAGAAAGCTTAAACCACTGTACCACCTACTCACTTTCATCTGTTAGAGTTGTACTATTTGTGACTCGGTTGATGTGACATGCATGACTTTTAGAATGGAACAGGTTGTTACAATTATGAACAGTCCACTGTTTGGAATAATATCAGATATCCTATTTTACAAGTTAATAGTACCTTAGAATATGCAAATCAAATTCATTATTACAGCCGCATAATGCTCTGACTTGACTTGTATAAAATAGCATTGGGCTCCATTGTTTAAATCAGCATTCATTGTATACCAATGAATTAAGTGCTCATGTGTTCACAACTGAGTATTTTCAAATGACTAAAGTGTAACAGTACGGTGTGGGATCCATACAGAAAGGCATGCTTGTGTTTGGAATGCAGACTTGGTTTTAGCATGAGCCAGAGTTTAACTAAGCAGTGGTTGCGGCATATGGTATTATCTATACTGTAACTGGTAACCATTTCCTTTCGGGAAGGGGAATTCTGCTGCTAATGTATTTATGGGAGGAAAATATTTAAAAATCTGTTTCCTTATGGAAAAAATTAAAATACTGCTTTTTAATGTGTGCATTAATTCAACTCTCTTCCCCAAGACCTTTTTGGCTGACAAGAATTTGTTTTCTGGCCACAACAGTGACTATTAAGGGAAAACCTATAACTTTTTAGTAATCATGATGATAATGATTACTTTATAAGATAACTGGTATCTTATAAAGGTTAAGACAACATTGACGGCTCTCCTAGAATTATAGTTAAGGAGCTGTTAATAGGCTGCATTTAAAAATGGGCACCACTGATTTGTGCCCAGATTTATTTTATTAAAGAATTGCGTATGTTACAGGGCCTTCTGCAACCAAGTACTGAGCCCTGACTGGGGCCAAAATTCTCATGGAATTTAAAATTCTACATCAGCTTCTGCAAACAAATTACCCTCTGGCTTTTTCTGGAAAAATGGAAAGTCATATGCAAGTCTGTCATTGCTAACAAGGACAAAGGTCTTGCATGATTCAACATACTGTCAGTGTTTAACATTTTGTACGCCAATTTCTGACTACTGTTCTTGTTGGAAAAAAGGCTTATATAGCAAGCCTGAATTATACACTAATTTAGGCAAAAAATGAGTTTTCAGGAAATTTGATTCTCCCAATATATTTCAAGATGAAATGCAATTTTTAAAATATTTATGCTATTCACTTTATGTATATAATATACATATACATCATGGTTCCATGGACGTTTCTGGATCACTGCTCCTGCAGGCAGCAGAATTTGTTGCTTCAGAACTTGATGTTGCAACTGCTAGCCTTTGTCGGTTTCCAAAAACTTCATTCACTATAACACAAATAAGAATTGGTGCCACTGTTAGGCCTTAAAAAGCAGAAATGATCTTACACCTTGTCTTAATGGGTGATAATTCCATAGCATTTCAGTTCTGCCCCCAAGAGTTTGTCATCCTTTGACAACCCATTTCATGACCGCCCCCCTCCCCACGTGCACCCTTACACATCAGGAGAACTCGGGTGTAGAAAAAGCAGCTTTCCTCTATCTGGTAGTCTCATCATTCCCAGACAGCATGGTCAAACAGGTTGGAAATAGTGGGGGTTTAGGCCTACACACTTGGCTGGCACCAGTTTGAAGAGATAGTTACTCTGTACCAAGGGTCGGCAACCCTCGGCTCCGGAGCTGCATGCGGCTCTGCTGCAGCTCCGTCGCTCAAAACGCGCGCCAGCACAGCCGCTGATCTCCTCGAAGCTCCACTCAGGAACGCAGCACTAGCTAGTTAAGTAAATCGCTACATTCCTCTGCTAAACAAGCTTCCTGCAGGCTCTCATGTTACTCAGACCCTGCTGAAAAGATGCTCTTTGTCCCAATGTAATCTCCTTCCTCTGAATGTTAAAAGCTGCGCTTGGGACCTGTCACAATTCACAGCACTTGACTGTTTATCTGCTAATCAGTCACTAAACACACCTATATCTGCAGACCCACGCGGATTTACTGAGCCGCCCACCCCCCCAGGCCAACAAACCAAACATTTAATGATACTGGGTAGATTCATTTGCTTTTACTGCTGACGAACTTATGGGGTTTGCTGTTTAATGCATGCAGCCCTTTAGCACTGACTTTGACTCTTCAGAAAGCTGTTCTCCTATTCAAAATATATGAAAGGAGTCCCACTAGTTTATACTGTAAGATTAAAAATAACAGTTTTTAGTGACTGAACAAGAGCTGTAGCTAAATCATAATGAAGATACACATAGCATTAAGGTAAAAAACAATATATGCAGTGTTATCTTCATTTTAGATGTCAAAAGGGTTTTGCGGCTTCCGGTGTTCTCTTTTGTGTGGGAAACGGGTCCAAATGGCTCTTTGAGTACTAAAGGTTGCCGACCCCTGCTCTATACCAATGATGGCGAACCTTTTAGAGACCGAGTGCCCAAACTGCAACCCAAAACCCACTTATTTATTGCAAAGTGCCAACACTGCAATAAAACCTGAATACTGAGGGTTTAAGTTTAGAAAAAAAAAAAAAACCTAAATATGATGCTGCAGATTCAAATATGCCAGGGGGACAGCACAACATTAAAAGAATCTCAGTCTCTTAATTAGAACATTTCTTTGCTAAATTTTAGATATTAAATTTCAAATTTTCATAAGAAAACTTAAAGCTAAAATTTTGTGTTAATACAAATGAATGTATGGGTATTAATGAATGTATGACTGACTGACTCACAGCCAATCCAAGCAAATAAATATATGGCAGCGCACTGAGCAGTCATGCGAAAGCTTGGATGAGTCGCGGCTGAGTCGTGGCTTGTGACGTCATTCCTGACGCCACTCCTTTCCGAGCATGCGCATGGCCCCTATGTGCACTGTTACCCGATGCTCGGCTGCTGGGGCGATGCTGGGGGGACTTGGTCCGCGTGCCTGCTGCGGCACGCGTACCATAGGTTTGCCACCACTGCCCTATACTGTGCAGACATATGTGCAGGTATTTCAGTGGCCTCTACTTCATTGCTTTCCCTCTATAATAGAATCAGGACCAAAAATGGATTCAAACCAGCAGAAGTAGTCCATCCTTTCTCTGACTTTTTATACCCTATTTTTTTCTCTATTCATTTGCACAATAATCTCTGGTCTTCACTTAGTTCTAGTTGAATGTATTGAATCCTAACAGAAACGATTACCTGCAGAAATTGTGCTTATGTCCCAAATACGTAGTCCTTCTCTCTCTCCACCAAAGGCATAGACAAATGGTAAATCTGGGCAACTAGCGGCACAGAATAGGATACCCTGTGGAAAAAAGATTCCTTATGATTCCTTTGTGATCCTGTGCTGAACCAGTAAGTAACTCTTACCCCTAACTAGGTCAAAGCTAGTGTTCTCATTTAAAATAAGAGTGAATCGGCCAGTAAACATGGAACCAGAAATGAGTGAGAACCCAAAGCTTATATATAAAATAAAAGCTTTGAAAAACCCATCGAAACTACAGTTTGTTAAGTGCAGTCTGTTTGCTATTAATGAAATCTTAACTAATCTAAAGAAAAGACTTAGGACACCATCCTGTGGCCTCGTAGCATTATCTGGGAGGCCACAGGATTCTTCAGAGCCCCAGCTCTTAGTTCCTACAATTTACAGCCCCTGTCCCAGCCCCGCACAGCCAGCAAGGAAACAGCCACACCAGCTGTGCCGTCTCCAGGTTGCAAGTGGGCCATAGATTTATGCTTAGTTCAGTCTGCATCGTTCCCAACACCCAAGCTGGACAGCTGAAAACAGCAAGCTAGAGAAAAGGTTTAGCAGTAATGGTAATGAGTTCAGAGGCTTATGAGCATCTACCATAGGGGTGAAGGTGATAGAACTGTACCCTTACACATTTACTCTGACCTAAGCTTTAATTGACTATATTGCACATCATCAAATGCAGGGAGTACTATTGAGAGTTTGAGATTTCTATATGGTACTTTTGGGGGTGGGGGAGATTGTGAAGCCAGAACATCATTAAATACAAAAAAACTACTATACTGTATAGATATCTCAAACTTTCTAATACTTCAGACACCTCTGATGAAAAAGATGCTTGCTTGGTTTTGCTGAAAGAGATTTAAGATAGTTTCCAGAGAGTAGCCATGTTAATCTATTAATATTTTGAATATTTGTATTTAATGCAGTAGTTTATACAATATTAGCTTTTAAGGTATTTTATACTAATTTCCTGACTCATTAGTATACAGGATACTCCTGGGAAAAAAAAGAATTGAGCTGTATTGGTTACACGCTTAAAACAAGGCTGAAATTACCATTTTCATATCCCTGGAATGGACCAAACTAGGCTTGTCTCCTAATATGTCCCAAATTTTCACATATTTATCTGTAGATGATGTAACAAGACATCCCTTGATTTGGCTGCTTAATTGTAGTCCTGAAAAAGAGATGCATATAATTCTGCTGTGTAGAATTAATCAATGAATTCATAAGAGCTTCAGACCAAGTTCTGTGTTAAAATGAGTGGCCAGTCTACATGCTACAAAACTGAATATTCTCTCATTGCTTGCAAAAGGTCTATTGCTTTACAAACCACTCTGTTCTCACTCTGCGCAGAGCTGCAACATTCAGAGATCTTGGCTTGTATGCCTCCATATTCTTCAGTTGGAGTTTGCTTGATCTAACAACAACTGGTCCAGCAGCACTAATTAAAATATGAATTCTTCCCCTCCCACTAGTGACAAGGAAGTGTTAATAGCATTTCATCTGTGAACTGGGAGCCTCAAAAGACAAAATGCACACCCCCCTCATGCACATGTGGCAAATACATATTTGTTCTGGATGTGAATGCAGAACCACCCTCAGTTTATTATACTGGATATATAGCAAGCAATTAGATGCAGCATTTATTTAGGGTAGGAAAGAAGAAAATTTACCAGATACTTCTTCATCATGTGCTTTCATTGTGAAGATGGGTTTATGTGAACGAGCATCTAGATAGTACACAAATCCATCTTCTGTGCTGGCCTAGAGAAAATATTGCAAGTGTTGTTAAAACAGAAGCAATAATGGAGCTGACAGTTGGAAGTACCAGGGCCAACACCCAGATGGTGCCACCTGGCCTTTCAACTGTTAAACTCAGAAGGGGAATAAAGATGAGCCGCATCTGGGAAAGTAAGTTTGCCACAGATGACAGGGCTTTCTTAGTCAAAAGTGTCTTCAAAAGAACCTTTTGCTGAAAAAGGTAATGAAACATCAGTGAATACCAGACTTCCAATCTGCTGCTTAACTTACCTTTGCTGGATTATGTTCCACTTCACTATCAATTGTCCCATTTTATTATATGTTAGAATGTGTTTGCTGCATTGAAAATTTGGTTAATTCACAGAGTATACATTTATAAAAGAAAGGGGGGCAAAAGACATTAAAGGAATTCTGTTCTTACTAAGAAGTGATGAGGTGAAAAATGATTCCAAGTCACTCTTTCAACCTGGCCACTAAACCGCCAGATTCTATGGTTCTCCTGTGGACTTCTGCAGTCATACAAAATGGCTGATCTGAAAAGTACCGAGAGAACATTTAGTAAAGTTTGGAATAATGTTTTTCAAATGTTACAAACTAAAATTGTCAGTGAATTGAGGTGCAGACAGTTACCTTTTTTTTAAAGTGTAGACAAGTAATAAACACAGCCACTCGGACAAGGCACAATACAATCTTAGGCATGACTATTTGGAACTAAATGCTACGGGTTTCAATTGAGCTTGCTTCCAGGTAAAGTGTGTACAGGACTGCATCCACAATTAGGTTTACCTGGACAGTTAAGGGTATTTTTATAGCTCAAGTAAAAATTACTAGAAAGAAGGTAAGGCAGTGACGTGATTCACATGATCACTATGAGTTAAATAAAGCACAGTGTGCTTAAGCTGCAGCACATGTAGGTGCTATTTGTATAATCACCCACCTGGGTAAAGCTTGTTTTATCCTCTGAATCTGGTTCACATGACTTTGTCCAGTTATTTGTTGGTTGTTTCCCCCTCCAACAACTGAACAAGGGCCCATGGATTATGTGATGATTATTTCTGCCTCCAGTAAGCCATGCTGCTTGGGCTGAGACCATCTCACAAGCCATGGCTAGGCAAGTAATTTAGCAAATAGCAACCAATGTCCTGTGGTTTCTTTAATTCACAGTGGTCATGTAAATCAGTCTAAAAAGATAACACTGTTAACAAAAAATAACATGACAGTATGCTTTATTTTAGCACAAATAAGGAGAATGTTTATACCAAAGCAAAAAGTGGTTTTATATTGAATTGTGATTTCTATATTACTTTAACACATGAAATGAAAGCAAATTATGCCTTTCCTTACTTGTCATAAGAACCAGAAACCAGAGTCTGTGTTTCAAATGGATGAAACTGCAGTGTCTGCACCTACAAATAACATAATATTTACACTGTAATTCAGTTTCCCACAGTATGTATGATCTCATTTACCCAATTCCTGCTATATGGAATCAACCTACATACAGAAACTAGGTTCTAGTAATCCAATTACCTGCAGTTTAAAGCAAAACCTTGTGCATCCAGTGTAAAATCTATACTGGGTTTTTTAAAACTTTGCTGATGTGGGAGGGAAAAAAAACAGTCCAGTGTTCTAGCTAAGCTAAACATGTTTATTTACTTGGAATAAGTGTAAACTAGCAGGCATTTCTTTAGCACTGCATTCTTCCCAGTCCTGGTATCCTGACTTGCAAACCCTGCAAATGGAGCATGTCACATTTTTGAAAGCACATCCTGTCCGACTTAATCAAGCTTAACTTGTGACCATGTCTCCTACCATAGGGCGTTCACCCTCAGGCCTCTCCACAAAATTATAGCTAAAGTGAAACCAAAATTTAAAAGGCATTTCCCTCTAAGTTTAATTTGGTTGGGAAACCAAGAAACATGTTCTGAATGTTGCTGAACCTGCCTCAGTGGTAAAATAACAAACACACCCAACTTGTGCTTTACAGAGTTGCCAGGAGCCATGGCTGACAGGATTTTCAAACTTTCTAAACATTTCATCAGGTGCAGTCTTTTGTGCCTGCAGCAGGATCACAGCAACAGCACCTGTCAAAGCTCCTCCACTATTAACGGCTTAAGGGCTCTATTCATATTTGTATTTGATGACTTTGTCATAATGAGCTGATATTCTGATAAATCTTGAAACCAAGGGTTTTGAACTTAAACTTCATTTTAACCAGCTCTGTTTTGCTTTCTGATATTTTCAAAATCCATTCTATCACATCTGTTTCAGTTCTACTTGTCAGAGGTGCAGGTGCAATTCCTAAGATCTCACATTTGGCATCTCACTGCCCTGTTTGTTTGCTCAACTAATCAGGAACTAACAACAACATGGAAGGAATAAAACACCCTTTCAAAAAGTTCATAACTTTTTTACTTTACACCTCAAATAGGAAGGCTTTATGGCTAACAGTGCTTTAAAGAGGGAATCCACATTACTGGCTCCAAAACCATCAAAGTAACTATTAGCTTTAAGGCCTGGCTGTAACTCTCAATTCAGGCTGCATGTCTCACCAGAACAAAATGCTGCTCCCCAAGGTTTTGGCATTTTATGTGCATTTTAGGCAGAGATCATGCATCATTAACAGCTACAAGTCTGGTAAGTTCCGTAGATGAAGCGTTGTCTATCTTTGCAGCTTCATAGGCAGGAATAATTCATCCTCTGAATTAGTGTTCCTCCCAGAAAGATTAAAAACAGTGCTCCCTGTCAGGCAGGGTGGTAAGTGCCTGAGAAGCTGATTCCCTAGTTATAAATAAAGCAGCTAGAAAAATTCTCAGTTAAGGACGCTGTCCTATGACCTCTGGATATGGCTGAGTTTGCATGGCACAATAACCTACCATGCCATTTTCGTGAGTACTTTGCTTGCTCCCACCATTCTCCACTCCTCCTTGTTTCTCCAGGCAGTATCCTGCAGATATCGCGAGGAGGAACAAGTGTCCTTTCTGACATCACAAATGTCAGAGTCTGTCTAGCACAACAGGATGTGTGCCTGGAAGTGCAACAGGGCCAGCTTCAAGCCTGCAGGGACAACATGCAGGCATTGTATTCTGCCTGTTTGCAGCAGGCAGTGCCTGCACACTGCTCCAATGAAGGCTGGATGTTGAGTTCACTAAGTTTCAGGGCAGGTGACCTGTTTGCACTAAGGAGATACTTTTTTAAAAAAATCTTCTTTGCCCCTTAGTGCAACAGGAAGAATGGGGATCTGATCAGACACCCTTGCCTCCTGCCTCACAGATGGGTCAGCACCACCAAGCCGATCACCTGCAGCATGAGATGTCCTCTCTCGGGCAGGTGGTGGGGGTCCTAATCTGCCCATCACAGAGCAGATCAGGTACCTCCCAACTCCTCCTGCTTTCTTCTACCTGAGAGGAGACTCCTTGGGCAGGAAGCTGGAGGAAGAGGTGCCCAACCTTGAGGTCTACAGCTTGAGGTCTGCTGTTGAGCCACCAGCAAGGATAGCTACTCCATGCCAATACAGGAATGGGAACACTCCTGAGAGCAGCCCCCGAGCACTGCACTTTGGAGGCTGTTGCCAGCAGTACTCACGTGCCATTACTTGCCAACTGGGGCAAGGTCAGGATCCCAGCCACTATTCCTCCTCCTCTGAAGTGCCACTGCTAGATGGGAAGAAAAGCCCTTCTGTAGGGCACATCTATAGGGCCCAAAAGCAAAATCTGTAGAGTGGGAGGATGGGGAGGCAAAGATCAGACCACCACTCCTTGCACCCTGCAATGGATGACTGAAAGTCTGGTGGCTTCTATCATTCAGGAGCAAGATATAGGATGGCACTCCAACTGAGTTACCCAGTACTTTCTGTACTCTTTTTTGGCAACAAATAATCAAAATTTGGTGGAAAACTCTAATCCATACAAGTTTCTACCTATAATGTATTTGGTTGTTTTTAAACATGCCATGGAATTCTTAGTTGTACTTTCTACAATAAATGAATATGGCAATGCTTCTGAAATCACTGGTGTACCTTGTCTGTGTGAAGAGAAAGGTTTGCTGCTGGTATGCCCTTGGACAGGTCCCAGAGAATTACAGAATGGTCAGCTGATGCACTTGCCAATACTGATCTGAAAGAAACAAGTGTGCTGAACAGTACGGAGAAAATAAAGGCGCAAGGGCAAGTGCACACATCTCATACTCAGTCATCACATTTCAGCTCCAGGACTCAAAGATTAAACGTGCTGCTTAAACACAAAATGGGTCTCATTTTGAACTTATACTTGAAACTACCTTTGAAAGGGAAACCAGGACTGGAAAAGGCTGAAAACCATTTTCTGCCCAGTTTTAACATTCCTTATGCAGAGTAAGGTCTGTATAGTTTGGCCTCCAAAACTATTTGATGAACTTGTACATAAGGCAGCATCCTTCAAAAGATGACGACAACACAGACTTGGAAGATGACTAATATTATTGGGGTGAAGTCCCTGTAAATCGAAGTCACAGTCCACAATTATCTGCTGATACACAGTCAGGTTTTGATTTTATGTTAGTCAAGACAGCTGGAACTGGTGCCCCCATAAAAATGAGATCAGCATGGCACTGTATACTTGTCAGTAACTTCAACAACTTACCTGACTCTACCTAGCCTCACAACTAGCCTCTAAAATTACATCTTTTAAAAGAGCACTGCCCTGGGGATTGCTTTCTCCAGGCACTGGGCAACTGGGAGCATCTGAGGTAAGAACTATCTGATATAATTGTCCTGCACTGATCAATCATAGCAATTCCAAAGAAACCACATGCCATTCAGATGAAACAGACTGGAATATCTAGAGACAGTGGAATAAAAGCAAGTTATGCTGTCTGTAGAGTTCCAGAAAGAAGCATTATAACACTATTCAGATAGAAAGTCCAGCCCTCCACACATACATTGAACACACATACAAAGCAGAAGAAAATAGGTTTTACCCCACCTGTAATAATGTTCAAATAAATGTCTTCAATGTGTATATGCATGTACATGTGTAGCAGTGTTGCCTATGTACACACACACAAACCTACACTATGCACACAGAAGACTGGACCTAAGCTCTGAAGAGGGTTTAAGTGCAAGAGAAATATGAAGAATCCAAGTATGAATTAATATATATTTTATTTATATATAAGAGTGTGTGTGTGTGTGTGTGTGTACAAAAGAAATATGAAGTATCCCCAAAAATGCATTTACACTGTAACTCTTAAATTATTTTACCTAAGTTGTTTATTCCAGGAAAGGTCAAGAACTGCATCAGTATGTCCTTCCTGATTGTCAGCCGTAGATGAACTCTAGATAAAAACATTAAAACATTAAAACATTATTTATAGGCTCCACATATTGCTAAAAAGGCAAGCATTTCTGATCACCCTCTTATTTGATACTCCTTTACCTGGGCAACCAAGGAACATCACGTATTTCAAGTCATATAACCCTGGAACAAAAAATTTCTACAGCTTTGGAGGTCTGACCTAAACTCTCTTACCCAAAATATGAACACAGAAACCCCTCTGTACAGAGTCAGACCGGTGGTCTTCGTAGCTGCAAATTGTCCACAATGACTGGTCTCAGATGGTCTCAATGACTGGTCTCAATGACTGGTAGCTGCAAATTGTCCACAATGACTGGTCTCAGATAGCTACCGCTGAGCTATGGCCTGTTCCAAGAGTACAGCCAGCCTCCCCACACAGGCAGAGCTTACAAGATAACCACCCAATTCCTCTTATGTCATTCTGCCTGTATCTTCCACTGGCATGTCCCTTCAGAAGGGAGCAGGTTGTGTAATTGCAACTGGCAGGAGGTTCCTCATGATTCTGTATTCTTTTCCTTCTACTCCATCCAGGCGCTGTGTTGAAAAGTCAGTGCCACACCTCTTCACCTTATCAAATAATGGGCAGTTTTCTCCAGTGAGGAGTATCAATATTAATCTAACTTAAGTCCAATTCATTTCAGTGGGTCTAAGAAAAACCGAGAACTCTACCCACAATCCCTCACTGCTCCTCAGGCTGCTCTGCTCTAACATCTGCCACTAACTGGCTCCAAAACACCAAAATGTCCTTCAATATGTTATACAAATGGTTTGAAAGTGCACATTTGAACCTTGTCCAAAAGTGTTACAACTTATTATGGTTCAATTAAAATAATGGATGCTCACCTTTTTTCCTTTCTTTTTCTTTGCTTTTGGTTTTTTTGTTCCAAGGGTAAAAACTGGCTCTAAACAGTCCACCATGTCAAGGTCCCAGACTTCAATAACAGGATTCATTGTGCCCACGGCAATATAATTTCCTACAGGAGCAATGCCCAAGGTAATGTTGAGTTATCTCATACATCCTTCACATGGTTAACCAACTAGTGTATTATTTCCCCATATAAGCAGCTTTTTGTACTGATAATTTTTATATAAATTTTTATATTAGCATATTTATATAAGAGCAGCATAACAGTTACATTAATTTTTATTTAGCTGCCTTGCCTTTATTATATTTATTAGATTTATATCTCATTGTTCAGATGCAGTGTAAACTGTCAGTCCCAGCTCCTTCCGTCCCTACTCTCCCAGCACACCCTTTCCCTTCCTCCCCAGGCAGCCTGCATTTTTTTAAGTTGCAAAGGAGGATGGGTTTTGGAGTGCCAGTATTAAGGGCACAGGACCATGGAGCTGGTACTCCAAATAACTGTGTGTCCTCCAAGTTGATGCTAATTAAGTTTTCTGAGAAAGATAACTTTTTTATTAAAAAAATAAGACTTGTCACCCCTAGTTTTCTGTGGATTTTAAAACTTCTATAAAGTGTATGCAAATATTTGATATTACTATAAGACCGGCCCAAGTACTTTGCCATCATTCCCAAGCTGCACCAACTGAAACTCATCCAAAAAAACCTGGAGAGGGTGGTATTCCAGATATCAACTGGTGAATCACCTAAAGTATCACTGCAGTCCAAGTCTTGAGGGTGCAAGAGACTGTAGCCCAGAGACTGAAAAGTGACTAGCAACTGTATCACAGCAGGCTCCAGATGCATCCATAGTGTCCATAGGGCCAACATGCAATTGACACCAAATGACCAGAAAAGCTCCACTGGGCAGCACATGGAGAATTAGGGTGTGCTAACATTCAAAGTCACTTGAAGGAATAAGCATAACTTCTCAGAACAGATTTGTGTAGCCAACTGTCAACTTCTGCAAGATAAAAAGGGGCATCTGATGGCCTGGTGGAAATAGTATTTTGGTTGCATGTAAGAAGAAAGGCAGCTAAACTGAAATTAGAAAAGAACTAAAGGATAGCACCTAAGTGCCCCCACTGCTAAAGTGGTGTGTTGCAATGTTCTACACTCCTTCCCAATATCCAAGAGGTCACCACTTGGGAAAAAGCATTCCTCAGTGGATTCCTTTTAAAACAAGGTTAAAACTGGAGGCAAGGGCAGATCAGAGTGGTGGTCAGCTGTGCCTTATTATCTAGAAAACAAATATCTGGAATTCATTGAAATATCAACTCGCAATTAATTCACCTGTAGAATCATCAGGGTTAGGATCAAAGTTCAGCCATTCTGCACTTAAAGGGTATGCTGATAAGATGAGATCATGATGGACGTAGAAGGAATCCTCCTCGTGATTATAAACTGAAAGAATGAATTTTTCCATCACATGGATAAAGCCACAGATAATCAGCAAAGTATATTCTCATAACAAGAACTTAAACTATGCATTAACTCCATCATGCAAAATAAGACCAACAGTGTCACAAGTCAATCCAGTGTGAAGCATTGGAAGATACTTTAAAATCATTAATCACTGCAGGATATTCACTTTAGGCCAGGCTAGCAGAACTTGTAACACCACCATAAGCCTGGTGTACTAAGCTGCTTCTATTTGAAGTGCCAGGCAGAAGGCAAAAATTTCCCATTCTCATGCTTGCTAATCATGCCGTTGGTAGTTGCAGCAGGTAGTGCAGCTCTCCCAGTCAATATGTGAAGAGTATGCCATGAGCATATGGCTTTAGATTTATGTTTTCACCTGGCTTGTTTGATACAGATATTTACTATTTATACATAATAGTAACCTTGTTCCCTTTAGCAGTTTCCCATAATTTAACCTACTGTGCTATTGGTGCAGAGGGACAGTAATTCTCAGCGACAACATACAGTTACCATTTCCATGAAAACATGCATCTTTTTCTTACATTGCTCTTCTTGGCTGCTCCCTCCGACCCAAAATTTAGAGCTTTCTGTCCTAATTCTACAGCAATTATGAGATAAAATTGAGCTTCCCTCAATTTTATCACACTAATAATTCTGTGCCTGTTTACCAAGAAGGAATTACCAATGAATTCACGAAAACATACTTAGAAATTTGTGTACATAGGTCTGCGGCCTTGAAAAGTGACAACTGTTTCCATTATAAGAAAAAATGATAATGTGACAGCTGCTTTATAAGTGGACTTGCTATCAGCTGATAAAGCTGTAATGGTAAAGGAATAGTTTACTCACCATGAACCTCTAGACTGCAATGGTCCTTATCAACTCTGCCACATACCACAAGATTGTCACTCGGTTTAATTACAAAGTCTTCTTGCTCATATTGCTCCTAAAAGAGAGCATAATTACGACTGGCACATTTGTGAATCCAGCTTTCAAACATAATTGCTGTAGAATTGAAAGAAAGACTTTAGCTGAGTCCAAAATCTCACGAATACCCAATGCAGTGTTTGAGTATCTCACTGTACTAGTACTCCCTGCCATCCTTGCCTTCTCCTTGACTTGGTAGTTGATAGTAGATGCCTTCCAAAGCATTTGAAAAATTTCATGCATAAGGCACTACAATGTGAAATACTTCAAAAAAGACGACTCTCTACCAGCCAAAAAGAACAAAACTTGGAAAGCACTCTAACATTCAGTATGGAATCCAAAGAGTGAATTTCAGAAAGAAATGGTCTTGTTCAAAAAGACACAGGTGTCAGTCAACTCAATTCAACACAGGTGACAGAACATCATAAAAAGATGAATAAAGCAACAAGTACATACAGAGTGGTTTCATATTCATATAACATCTTAGCTGTCCACTGAAAACCACTCACAACCTTAAAAGACAATAGTCTGAATACTCACAGTATCTTTAATAGTGATGTAAGGATCATTTTCATTGCTTCCATATACTGTAAGCCCTGCTAGGATCTTTCCAAGACTCTCAGTACCTGTAAAAGAATATTCACTGTTTCACATGGCGAATGGATAGTGCCTGAGCAGGCAAAAATCACAGTTGAAGAGTCAGTGTGGCACAGTGCTGGACTAGGACTCAAGAGATTCACTTAACCCCATTCAGCAGCAGTGCTGTTCACTGGGTGACTTTGGGCCAGTCACTGACTCTCAGTCTAACTCACCTCACAGGGCTATTGTGAGAATAAAATGGAGAGAAGCATCATGAAGATTACCTTAGGTTCCTTGCAGAAAAAAGGTGGAATATAAACAATGCCAACTGGCTGATATTAAAACCAGAGAGTCTGCATTTCTAATCATGATGAAATGTACAATGTAGCAGACAATCAAATTAAGCTCTATGGGGCTGGACAGCTTACGACCTTCTAGATGTTCTAGCTTATAACTCCAATGAGCTCTCACAAATAGTGAAGGATCATGGACATTGTAGGCCAAAACAAAAGGAGGATCCCAAGTTGCCCACACCTGCTGTATGAGATGCTACGAAGGCTGCATGTTCATCTCCCTAGGATTGTTGGAACAAGGAAACATGCCGTGGTTCACTGCTTCCAGTGACAAGCCTTGTTAGGTTCTTATGGCATGGAAGGACCGGGGGAGACGGGGGGGGGGGGGGGGAGGATAGCACATCTTTTTAGGCAGAAGGGCCAAGGCTCACTTCATTGCATCTCTTGCTGGGGCTAGAAAAGTTCCTGCTTGAAACCCTGGAAGGCTACTGCCAACAACTTGAGAATCCTTAAGAACTCTTGTTTAATGAAAGAGCTGCAAGCTCTGTGGCCTTTTCAGTGAGATTTCTTGCTCATAAAACATACAGCCCCTTTCCTTCACTCTGTTAGAATCACTGTCTGCTGTAACTTCTTTCACCTTTGGATTTGTATACAAATTCTGGCCATTTGAGACCTATATTCCACCACTCAGGTAATGTATAGTTCCACGCATGCAAAAGCACACATACACTTTCAGATGATTTGCTAGTGAATAGCAAGCAGGCAGCAGGAAAATAAGGTGAATGTTACCTGAAGTTTCCTCATCATAATTATCCAAGTCATATTCTGCCAGTTCATCAGCGTCCAGTTTTACAGCCTCTTCATGTTCTCCATCTTTGGGAGCAGAGGGAGCTCCCTCAGCATCAGCAATATCCATGGTGTCTCCCAAAGCCTCTTCATGTTCATCCTCATCATCACTGTCATCTGCCCTTTATGCAAGTAAAAAAAAAAATTCTTCTAACCTTACACATGGCATTAAAATGCCACCAGCTAACCTTTTGTCTCTTGCACAATTCCATCTTCTTTATGTGCCAAGGATTCTGCAAAAGTATGAACATTTAGGAAAGTACAAGGTCCAAGTAATCAAACATGTGCACAGAGTTCAGCTGTAATCTCATGTGTATCTCCTGGAGCTTCACTAAGAGTACTGGCACCACACAGCAGAAGAATTCCCAATGAGATTAGTAGCACTCCAAGAAACAGTGGTGAGGTCACAGCTTCTATTCTCCTCCAGCAAAAAGATACTTTGTGTTGACACTGCCTCAATCACATCCCACATCAGTCCCCTCAACATCTAAACACTTCTGTGCAATTAAGTTCACTGATTTGTTGGCTTAACCACACCTATCGAAGTGTCTACATAGCCAGCCCACAAATACTAATTTGTAACTTTTTTCTTCCACTGAGAACCAAAAATAAAATCATAATTCCTCTCTTGGAAGCTATTGCAGCAGATGTGATAAGCAAGATTCTTTGTGAACCACAAACAAAATTACATTTATGATTCTAAGAGGCACTGTGGAAATTGCATACAAAAATGTAATACATGAAATAGCATATTATAAAGCTAAAATTTGGGGGAAATTTATTTATTTACTTATTTTATATGCAACTATGAGAAACATACCAAGTTCAGAAGTAATAACCAAGAAACTGTTCTCTTCCTATTTTCATGCACACAGCTTTAGGTTTCAAGAAACTAGTCCTATTTCCATCTGATAGATGACACAAACTACCTTAATTGTTATTTAGGAACTTTTTCTGCAACACATGACTCCTTTTTGTAGATATGATACACAGAGCATGCATTATTCCCATGTTCATGATTCAAATGTCAAAACTTACTGCAGCCTCTCCTTGGCTTCAGTGATCAAGCGCTTCAATTCTTCTTTGTCAAGCTGGACCTGCAAAGTGAATACACAAACTACAAAATCATATCAAAGCAAAGTTATTACTTATTTATACGCTGCCTGTAACTGCTGAGGCCTTCCTAGGTGGCTTTTTTACATCTGCTAACTTAGAAACTGATGCATTCAGCAATTACATATATCTGTGACATGAATAAGCTACATAATTTTGGAATACATGATATTTCTTTCAAATATAGCATGCTGAGCAATCCTAAAGAGATGCCAAATAGATACTGAGAATTATATGCAACTATTGGATGAAAGTTTAGAAGGTGGAAGTTGTTGAGGGCGCAACAATATATAACAATATAAACTGCAGCAGTGCTGCTGTATTAGAAAGACAAATAAAAAAGCAGCAATAGTGTTGTTATTACATTTTCAATTGTTCCTTTACTCAAATTAAATTGCTTTTACTGCTATACTTGTTATAAAGCATTTTGTTGTAAGCTGCTTTGCAGAGAAATGCAAGATATAATTTTTGTGTAACAATATAATGACATATAATGTAGAGTTTTTATTGGGACACTGCTGTACAAGAGAGCAGTATGTCCAATAATACTGCAGGAGTTTATACTTTCAAAGGAAAAGCTGATAAAGTTCCTCTGTGCTTAACAGCTTTGTTACAATCCAAACAGCCAACAATAATTAAGACAATCTTACATTCATTTCTGTGGGAGTAACCCTACAAAACAGAACGAGCCTTACTTCTGAACAGACATATGCAGGATCATGCTGAAGATCTGAACACTTTTCCCACTCCAAGCTTCTCCCTAAACCCCTCCTTGTTGTGTTTTAGGACTCTGATAAGCATGTTTGCTAAATAAAAGCACTGGCAAACGGAACAACTTGTTCATTATTTTGCACCCAAAAAGGAAATATATAGTTGCCGCTTCTGACTGAATAGGGTAGTCACCCATTTGGCGCCCTCAACATGTGTCGGACTACAACTCCCACAAGCATTCAGGCAGCTGATTTGCTGGTTGAGAGCAATGGGAATTGCAGTCCAAAACATCTGCAGAGTCCCAAGCCGGGGAAGACTTGTGCCATCACGGAAGCCCCTAGCTGCTTCACCCAATGATTACAGAAGACGTAAATAGAGTGGACGGGAGCGCTGCCCCAGACTTCTCCTCTCACCTTATCCGGAGTCTCCTTGGTAACACCTCGAGGAACCCAGGCAGCGCAGGTCACGGGACAACTCATAGCTCCGGCTTGCGGGTACAAAAGGCACGAGAACGCGCAGCGGCCCCTTCCGCCTCGGACACGTGCAACCCTCTTCCGGCAACGACCCGCTTAAGCCTCCCTTCGGCTCCACCCCCATCCCACTCCCTGAAGACGTTCCCACCCTATCACTCCTCAGCAGCGCCGGAAAGCGGAGAGATTGACAGGGGGCGTGTGACGTCATCGGCAAGCGCCGGGAGCTTGATGACGAATACGAGTCGCGTTCCTCCTCGCCCCTCCCGCCGTGGGCGGTGTCGTGCTCGCTTTCAGAAGCGGGCGGAGCGATCGTAGCTCTTCCCTCTCGGCTACGTCACCCCCGCCGACCTGGAGGAGAGCGCGGGTGGGGGAGAGGAAGCAGAGGCTGATCGGGCGCCCACGGACGGTTCTCGTTTCGTCCCTTCCGGGGCAGGCGATGCGAGGGGTCGCTTTGTCGCGCTCTCGCTCCGTTACTTGGCTCGAAGCCCCGCCGAACCCAGCAGAACCTCCTTCCGAGAAAGCGCGCCCAGGCTCGCAGTCGCCGTTTAAGGGAGCTGTAGGCTGTTCTGTGTGTGTAAATATGCATAGAGTTGCGCTGCCAAGTTCGTCCTCGATCAGGGAGGGGTAGGGGAAACTAAAACTACAGTCGGACCATGCCGTTATTGCAAAATATCACAAAATTGTGTGCAAGCTTTTGAGTTCTCCAGATCTCTTAATCAGGCTAGGTGATGCAAAAGGTAGAGCGGGTGGAAAGGAGCAAAAAGGTTCACTTCGATCGTAGGCAGGGGGAAGCTCGTGACTCCTGTATCAGTGGGGCTTCTTAACCATTGCAGCTTTAATTCTTTCATAGGAGCTATCCGTGATGGTGAAGCTACCTTGGGGGTGGAATTCAGAACCCTGGATAGCTTCTATAAAGCACAGGATAGTCTGATTGTCCTTAATCCTTTCAGGCCAGGATCCAATCTGCAACAAGTGGACAAGTTTTAATAGTTTATGTATCTGAGGGGTATTACTTCCCTCTACCTTGCTCCTTATCTCTCCCCAAACCCCCTATCTATCTCTGTTACTTTCTTTCCTCCTCTTGTTAAAAAAAGTAGGTTGTCCACAGCATGACCCACCTTAGGCTGATCTATAACCATTGTTGGATCCTGAGCCATCAGTTGAAAACTGAGTCATAACAACCCACCATGGGTGATACGGGTTGTCATGTCATACAAACCCTGTACAGTTTGTATAAGATGGCTTATTTTTATAGGACATACCAGTCTGAGAACCCATGGCTTTTTTAGGTTAATACCTATGGTGGTTTGATGTATCATTTGAACCTGGCAAGGCAGCTTTATTGTGGGTTGCTTGGAATGACCTAGAGAAACTCCCCTGCCATTCTTTGCAGTCTTACTCATGTGCCACCCATCTTCCTTCATCTTTTCTCAGCCTCCTCCACCCCATACCTCTGAAAATGGTGAATACCAGTAAGTGACAGCTAGTAACAGACTGAGATGATAAATGAAGTAGCCTTTTAAAAGGCAGATCTTACAATGGAGAATAAAATTGAGTAGGACATTGACAAGAGAGAGCGATCAGTATTCTGGGATAAATATGGATACTTTGTTGTTGTGCAACAGCAAAATTCTCAGGTAACGGGAAAGTGGACAAATTATTTCATTGCATTTATCTCCTGCCTCTTAACTCTTGCCAGAAACCCAAGGCAGCTTACATAGCTCTGTGAGGTTAGGCTGAGAGTGAGTGACTTGCCCAAAGTCATCTAGTGAGTGTTGTAGTCAAGCGGAGACTAGAACCTGGATTTCCCAAGTCCCCAGTTCAGCATTCTAACCACCACACCAGCAACTGTGCTCCTGCATTCATAAGGGCCCCCAGAATTAATTCTATTTGGTAATACGATGTGGAGATAAATTTTTCCTTTGGGATCCTTCAGTTCCCAAAAGGACCAATTGCAGAAAGGATACTGAAACAGGCTGAGGCCACAAAGGTGCCTGAGACGTATGCTGGAGCCAGCAGGAAGAATGAGGCGTGAGGAACAAGTCATAGCAAGCACTGTCATCTGTTGAGAGCATCATGGGATGTTCAGTGATGAACCAACCCATGGTGCCTTAACAGGATGGTTTACTGCAATGCGCAAAGCCCAGTTCATTAATGAACTATCTAGAAAACATCATGAGCAAATAGATCTGTGGTCCCATTGAAAATGAAGGGGTGTCTCTGTGCCTCTCACTGCCTGGTGAAATAGTAAGGGCTGGTAAGTTGCAAGATGCATATTTACATAGAAAAGTCCTACAACTCCTGGCATGCCCCAGCCAGCATGGCAGTTAAAGCAGAGTGCTGGTTGGTGAAACAGACATGCATAGGATTGCACCCCTAGTTGATGAGGGTACAATTTCATCTGCCCCAGCATACTGTGACAAGTTTATTATCCATAAAAACATTTTAATGTCAGCAACTAAAGGTTATATTCCAATGTTGTTCACAACGATAATATACAATTTGCACAAAACATGGCTGATCTGACAAGGTTTTGCAGGCTAACAATATATATAGAGATAGGTGTATATAGATATAGATCTCTTTCTTATTAAATAATTTATTATGCCAGAAGTCATGCAAAGAATTTCAGAGCAGTAAACACAATAAGAACACCACTTGTTGACATTACCAAAACCATTCAAATACAGAAACAATAGGCTATAGATAAATGTGTGTGTGCGCGCGTACACACACACACACGCACACTGGTTTTTTTTGTTGTTTTGTGGTCCCTTCTGTGTTATATTGAAGCTTTGCTCCCATCCCACCCTACCCTACCCTACCGGGTCCTTATTAAAGACAAGTCCAAAAATAGGATTTGGAATATTTTCAACCAATACAGACCACCTATATAAACTTCTTGAAATTTCCACCTTAGATCCCTGTAAATGAGGCACTTAACCATTGGCTGGGAGTGGGGGCAGGAATCAGCAACACAAGTATCCATCTCCAAAGCCAATGTTAATTCTGATCCATAATCCTCGGATCGTTTGAAGTCTGAGGTTGTCATGCCATATGCATCCTCTTTTTTATCTGATCCTGTGCATCATGTATGGAGGTCCTACTACCCTTTAAAACAGTGGTTTTCAAACTACATTCCAGAGAATTCCAGTGTTTCTAGTGCCTCTAGTGATGGGCAAGCATGCAGGGAAAACTTGATTTTCTCAGTGAGGAATCCCTGATTAAGACAGTTGTGGTAGGCCAGGTCACCTGAAAGCTTGATCATCACTATAGACTTCACTCCTGCAATCTGGACTTGAAGGAAACTTACAGTTGGCCATATTCTGGTCCAACCTGATGTGGAGTGAGTCACCTCATCATGAACTTGTGTGTGCCCTAGAACATGTGATGCCCTATCATTCGCTGCTCTATCAAATGGCAGATGATCAGGAGCTCCTCAGCAAATTGATGCGAAAAGGGTTCTCTAAGGGTAGAAAGTTGAAAACCAGAGTTTTAGAAACACAACCTCAAGGATATGGATCCCCTTAACCCAATAGTGCACAGCACCTAACTAATCCAGTATGAACGTAGGATGACCTGTATGAATCCGCAGGCTTTTAACATTTACATATTTATACATACAAACAAGCTTTAATTTTTTAAAAAAATCAAGATGCATAATGTTTCACTACTTTATTTACCCTGGTATGTTCCAAAGGATGTTTTGTTCTTTGCCTTATTTTATTGCAAAGTCACTACAGGCATGATCCACACAGCAGTTAAATCCAAGTGCTGGATCTAGAAGCAGACAGCACTAACATAGCTAGAGTCCAGCTATAGAAACTAAACCTGTTTGTGCTGCAACACCATTTACAGAATACAAATGCAGCCATTTATTGACCTATTTACCAGTGCAATTCTTGCTAAGCAACAAAATTTAAAATAATTTTCTTCCAAGTGCTAGACTGACTGGGCTACAGTCACCTCTAAAGCCACTGAATGGACTTACAGAGGTATGTCAACTTCAATTGACAGGTACAAAACTATTTTTTTGCAGATGCAAATTGGTTCCATGGAAACTAAGGGCTTGATGCTGTGAGCACCCAGTGTTGTCTGGGATGGGCATAGGATTGGGTGGGAAACCTTGGAATTGGGACTCTGAATGTGAAGCCTTGACCACCTCAGCCAGCACAGAAAGAACTGCACCAGCCTCTTTGAGGTTGCAAATTGGCCTCAGAGAGGAAGAAAGTGAGTACCAGGGCCGGAGTAGGAAAGGGCTGGGGTTGAAGGCTTAGAGCACATTCAAACAGCAAACTAGCTTCCATCCTCTTCCATTGTGCATTATCTAGATGGCTGAAAATGGCTGCCTAGATGAGATACAGGACTTGAGATGCAGCATCGATTGCTACTGTCATACCTCTAACAGGGGTCTCAAACTCGCGGCCCGCGGGCCAATTGCCAGGACGGACGGGGCACAGGGGAGGGGCCCTGCGGCCTTCAAAGCGCTGGCGGCGCCCGAGCCAGCCGCAGGATGAGCGGCCCACCACCACCGCGGTGGTGGAATACTTGATGCGGCCCAGCCTCACCCAGACTCTACTTCCAGCGGCCCCCAGGTAAGTTGAGTTTGAGACCCCTGCTCTAACACCATGCACTGGATGCATGTAAGCCTCCTTGTTCAAAGGCATCCATGTATTGAGTGCAGAGTGCATTGGAAAGCACCGTAGATGTTTATGCAATTTAGAAAAGCAAAACAAAACATCATCAATGTTATCTTCATGCTTGCCTGCTGTAAGTGATGTATCAAAGAAACAGATGTGTTTCTATTCACATCCTACTTTAAATATCACTTGGCTCATAGATCAGATAAACAAATCTGCAATGCACTAATATTGTGTTGATAAGCCTTATTATTACAGGAGTACCACTGCTTGCTGCAGCATTTTAATAACAGTTTGTTCCTTCCTCTTTCTTGGGGTGTTTCCAGTCTTGCCTTTGAGTGCACAACCATTTTACTGTATTTATGCCATTTTGGGGTGTAGATGACATCATCTTCCTCTTCTAATACTCCTATATTTTCCCACTGTTTCTCCCCTCTGTTCTCCTTATACAGAAAT